GGGTTTGACATCCCAAGCCCCACACTCAAGAACCTGAGCTCATTGCCCGAACCTTAAGGTGCCCCGAAGCCCTAAACGCCTAAACCCTCAACCCCAAAACCCTAAACCCTGAACCCTGAATCCTAACCCCAAAGTAAACCCTAAAACCCTAACCCCCCCCCCCTCAAAAAACAAACAGACTCCGCTGAGATCGCCACCGCCTCGCAACTCGGCCTCAAGTTCGTCTTCGCGAATGTCGTAGAGGCTTTTGCCTGGGTTTGGAGCACCAGGAGTTTTTTAAGGGATCTCGAGTATGGGGTTACTTTAAAGGGATCTGTAAGGCTTCTTCCTTTAAGGTGATCTATGGGGTTAAGGGGTTTGGGGGTTGAGGGTTACCTAGTAGTAGAGTAGGCAACTTTTGACCTTTTTTGGGTAGTATTGCCCCTATATAATCCCTATATAACCAGAAAGGTTGACCTCTAGTTCCCCATGATACCCGACAAGTAGGATACTTTGCTCGTTAAAGGAACCATTATGACATGAAAGTCTATACTGTTTTCTCCCTGGTTACTCCACAGTCCAGTTTGGTAACCTCGACCCTACATCTCCCTCTATTAGACCCTAAATGCATCTTATTTGGGACCATATGGGGTTTCCGAAAATAGGGGAGCCTCAAAAAGTATCCTAAGTACCAGGATATTATAAGGCCCCCCAAAATAAGGTACCCCTATTTTTCGGAAACCACCAGAAAACCCCTAGTTGAGGGTACAAGGAGGGTCCTGGAAGGCTCCATGAAATTTGTTGGTTTAGGGTGTCGGAGGCCCGATCTGTCCCTTCGTTGAAGGAAGATTGAGTAACGTTAATGTTAGACCCTCTGTTCCAGCTTTTCAAGAATCAAATGGGGTATTCTTATAAGGTATGTACTGGATTCATGCATACACATGTGTATTTGTATATGTCCGTAAATCGATTGGTTTTGACATGTGATGATGGCTTCTGGTGGTATAGAACTGGGGTTCAACATCTAGGGCCTAGCCTAGGGTTTAGATTCATAGATTTGGTGCATATAAAGAGGGGGTTGGCTGAAGGAAAATTGAGTGAGTAGTTCCGGATTGAAGGGGCAATTCCACGAAACAGGCTTGGCGGGTCAAAGAAAGATTGGCAACAGGTACTGCTGATGGACAAAATCCTGCATTACCCACTATGAGGAATATACCGTAGTTCCCATAGTGTAGAGTCCTTAGGGTCATGCAGGATTTTGTCCATCAGCAGTATGGCCAGGTGGGGTTTAAGGTATCGGCTTCGGAGTTCGATAGACAGGTGGAAAGTTGGTTTGGCCGCAGGAAAGCTTGAAAGTGTCTCAGGGTCCAACTTCCTTAATCCCAGGAAGGTGGCACCCCGAAGCAACTCAGAGCCTAGCATTTAGGAACTAAAACTCCCACAATCGGACACTCGGACTCCTGGACCCATGCCTCAATCCCAACCCCCTCTAAACCTTAAACCCTACTTTAGATGAGGCCCCTATGTCTTAGCAGTTTCCAGTTCGCTCGCGAGAGGTCAAGCTGGTTGAAGCAGATCAGCTGATGAAGATGCTCCTCGGTTTACGTCCTTAACGGTTTGTTCGATTTTGTCAGGATTTTGCAGGGGGTCTGACCAATCTGTGTGCCTTTGGGCTCCATAGTTTATTGCAGCCCCTATCCAATCACTCCAGCCGCCATATTCATTCCACAAAAATGTGCAGGTAGTTGATCCCTATACCCTAAACCCCAGACGCCCGGGAGGATCTAGAAAGTAGATCCCTTAATTTGGGGCCCCATACTACTAAGGGTACTTTATAGGAACCCCATGAAGGGATTTACTTTTCGGATCCTCCCGGGGGTCTGGGACCCTAACCCTCGTCGGTGTGCAAGCCAAACGCTTGTGATCTCTCGGAAAACATTTTGAATTCCATAGTGTGGCACAAGTCGGGATTGGGCAAGGCAGCTGGGACCCTGCAGTGGATTTCTGCAGGCTGAAGGCATACGGTGCTGGCATCACAAGGTTATGGGCAAATCCAGGAGTTTAGCTTCTCCTGCAGATCAGGGCTGTGGGGCTTGGCTTCTATATGCTTACACTATCTATGGGACAGCAACCTTGTGCAACCTACTACGTTGCCGGCCTGAGTAGGATGTCACAGTAAGACAGTGTCCGCCTACAAGTCCTGAATGTTCCTGAACAAATGTGCTGGGGTTTAGCGCAAAACCTTCTGTTGGCCCCTGTGTAAGTATTTTTCTAACCGTTTACCCAAGGCGAATAGCACCTGAAGAGATGTCAGCGGGTGGGCAGAAGCCTCTACTCATCGATCCTCGTATACATTCGTCGACATGTTAAATGCATTAGTTGCAATGCTCGAATGCTGTAGGCACTGCAGGCTAGAGGATAACCAGGCTTCGAAGAAAAAACACTTGGCCTGAAGCATATTCAGGCATCCAGTCATCATTCTCCTCGCTGTGACGTTCTTCGGGTGCCACTCTCAATGCATTGCGGTCACGGGAAGGTTTGGCCGTTGAGTCCTCAACATTAAAACCTTATGCTTGGCACGATTCGTTGGTTTGATCTACCTGAGCAGTCAGTTTCTACAGTTACACTCTACCCCAAGAAGCCCAAAACATGTTCAATCTATTCGCGAGCATGTAGAAATGTACTCACTCTTTGGTGCCATTGACTTTGCTGCTTTTATGGGATGATGTTCAGAATACAAATACCCATAAACAAGCCCAACATGGACTGCGCAAAAAAATGCCCTGAATACCAGACCCTAGCCCCCTAATATTAAAGTGGAATACTTCCCAAATCTGAACCCCTCCTTACACAACCTCCGAAACATCTAGCCTTAAGCAACACCCTCAAGAAGTATACATCTAAAAGCCCTCAAGCCCGCAAGAACCATGAAGGAACCCCTGAAAACGTGTAGACCAACTTGGCCCTCCTCTTGAGGGTTTTCGGTTTTGTGTTCGGCTATCTGGAGCCTTATACTAGGGTTTAGGGTTTAGGGTTTAAGGGTTTAGGGTTTAGGGTTTAGTAGAATGCCGATCCTCAAACATCTTCCAAAGCCTAAAACCGGCCTTAGACCAACGCGTTACAGAACCTAAACTGTCGCCCGGAACCCCAAAGCCAGCGCCCTGGCAGCTTCATCTGGGGGCCTACTGGGATGCTTCTCGCAGTGCCCCTGGTGGCCTATTTCAAGGCTCGGATTTTGTCGACTGTTGTGGGGCTCTATAGGGTGCATAGGAATATACTGAAGGTTGCTGTGCGGGTTCTTTGAGGGTTTGGGGTTGTGGGTTCGGTTCGGCTGCCGGATTAACGGCCAACAGTCCCAAAGTGTTGAAGGAATGGACTGCGGGATGTAGGTCCGGAAGTTTTGAAGGAATAGACTGCGGGATGCGGGTCCACGGATATATAGGAACCCTAATACTCAGCACAAAGTGTTGCATATTGCACCGCAAGCATAGTACCTAACACACTAATTATGGGGTCATCTTAGTTAGGAGTACCCAAAGACTCCAAAGTACCTCGACAGTAGAATGTAGGGTTTCTATATTAGGAATTCATATTATGATTTGGGAAGGTAGCCCCCCATAACAGTGCGTAATTTAGGAAGCTGATTAAGAAATCTTGGGCTTTGATTCGGGTTCCCTATATGAACTCTACTATTTTGGGGTTATAGGCCCAGGGTTTCTTAATCAGGCTCCTACACTAGTACTAAACCCTAAACCCTTAAACCCCTAAACCCTAAACCTTAAACCCCTAAACCCTAAACCCCTAAACCCTAAACCCTTTGGGGTATGAGAAGCTTCGAACCGGCCTCTGATACCCCGTTTGAAGACCAACCGGTGCCCCGAGATGCATGACCCTTCTTTCGGGTCACCTAAGGGTTCCGTAAGGGATCTATGGAAACTATAAGGCATCCTTAAGGGGTTCTATAATTATAAGGGATCCTTAAAGGTTTCTGAGTGTTTTTCACCAATCGATCCTGACATCCACAACGCGTGCTGCAATTCAGGGTCTACGCAGTAATCAGTTGTAAGGCTGGGAATTTTAGGATTCAGGGGGACAGGGCTTGCGTATTAGTGTTTAGGGTTCTGCCGCCGGTTTGAGTCTTTCGCGTTTAGGAGTGTTCGAGGTGTTCGGACGTAGAATGGGTTTAGAATCAAGCGGTCTGCAAGGGTGCAATATAGGGTTAGGGACCTCAAATCACCAATACTACTTCGTAAAGGTTCCAGATTAATTGTATACCTGCTGTCGTGTGTCTGTACAAATATGCCCCAAAGACGGGTCGACCAGGCAATAACCTTGGCTGTCGTATAGGTCTCATCAACTTGAAGACGCGTTACAAGGCCAGAGTACAGGGCTTCATCAAATGTTCCCCATGTAAGGCTTGAACCCTAAACCCTGAACACTAAAACCTCGATCTTGAAGCCCAAATTCCAAAGCCATCCCCCCGATGGCTTAAATGTCGAGGCCTGCGGAAACAAACGCTGCATCGTTGGCTCGAGACTCTCCCATCTCTTGTCCCATCTCCTTACCTTTGGTTAGTAGGGAATGGAGGAATGGGGTACCATTTTTGTCTGCTATTACTAGCTTTCTTCCATTCCCTACTAACCAAAGGTAAGTCTTCTGGCATGAGCCGCTGAGGCTTTCGGGCTTACCTAAAGGGTTTAGGGGTTTAGGGTTTGGGGCTTTAGGGTTTCCATGATTCAGGAAAGCACAGGTGCGAAGTTTGCCAATTAGATGTCAGAGCTAAGGGCTTGGAAGTTTAGGTGAGGCGTTATCGATCTTCTAGGGGGTCCATTTTTAAGGCCTATTGTTTTGGGGCTTAGGATTTTGATTTGTTTATTCCCCTTGCAATCCAAATATAGCTTGTCACAAATCTGCTGACCTCCAAGCCGTCCTCAGATGGAACCCAGTGAGAACTCTTGTGAGAGCCTTAGAAGCATCGATCCGTAAACACCTCGTAATTAGAGAGCGGCTGCTGAAGAGTCATGGCTTCCCGCGCCAGTGCCTCAGCCCTGCGGCGTAGACTGGCTACTTCCCCGCCAGGATCGAAATCCTTGCTTGGTGGTACTAACAGAAGAGCCTCAAGTGATTGCGAAGAGCGTGGTTGCATGTTCGGGCATGCGAGGTTGAAGACTTGTGTTTTTTCTACTCTGGCTCCGGCGGGTGCAAGTAGAATTGGCTCCACATCGTGGCATCTTCGTTATACAGATCCGACTCTGCGACCCAACTATTGAAATCCCCTTGCCAAGTTTGCATCAAAGGAAAATACTCTCGTCAAACATCGTTGGCGCTATCGGGTTTCAATCTGTGCTATCTGGGGTTCAAGGTTTGAAGCCTTTATCGTTCAGGGTTCCCGGCTCTCAACCCCAACCGTACAGGCGCTCAAGCCCATTCCTGCGACATGCCTTGGGTACGGCCCCCACTGAGTATAGTTGAATAATATTCATAATATAGATATCGTTGGACCTTGATAATAGCCCTATTATAGACTCTTACTGTATGGGGGCCGTACCTAAGCCATGCCTTTCACTCGGAGCCTTGTTTGTCCAGTTGGTTTCGCCGACCTCGGCAAACTGAGGCTGGCGAGTCGGTGACAGGCACGGCCAGGTGCACGGATGGGAGTTAGGATTAGGGGGACCCTCGGGGATATAGACCCTCTCAATAAGGTCCCTTCTAAGAGAGCCAGAAGTCGGGTTCGGAAGGGGTACCCTTTAAGGGGCCCCCCTCATCGTGCTCCCCAACTGATTCAAGACAGGGTCCTCAATCAAGGGTCCTTCAAGGGTTCCCCTGGGGGTTCTATCATGGCTCTGCAAGGGTTCTAAATGTATTCATTGAGCCCGAAGCCCTACACGAAAAGCATCATAATTCGTCTAGATAGTTCTCCGGTAGTGCTCCTATGCCTTTTTTCACCGTATCCCGTCGCGAAAACAAAACAATGGGTACAGGGGTACCCGAAAGATTTTGCAGATGATGGCCCGGTGGTGCGCTTGATTTGGATTGGGAGTGGGACTTGAGGTTCCCATCCATAGAAGCTGAAAGCCTAGGATGCCCACTAGTACCCTTATTCCCTTTTTGTAGTCCTAGGTTCCTTATAAAGTTACCCAATACCAAAAAGAGAGGCCTTTTTATTCTTAGGTTACTGGGTATCCTAGAAGCTTTTGCAGCTTGAAGCCTAAATGCACAGGAAAAGATACTTCAATCAAACCTGGAAGCCCGCCGAAGGCTTCGCAGTCTCGGGTCAGCGATGGTTCAGCGTTTTTAAATGCTTCAAGCTGCGAAGAGCCCACACGATCACCTTCAGAAACTGATGCTAAATTTATTGGTAGAAGTTCAGAGGAGGCCAGAAGGGGTTTTAGCCTATGGGGGTTTAGTAGGGATTAGGGTTCCCATAATAGGGTTCATATTATGGATTCCCTACCCCAAGAATCTTAAACCCCCCTTTCTGGCCTCCCATCAGAAGTGCGCCTCATGTTAGAATAATACCAGGGCTTCTTTTGGGCCACAGGTTCAGCAGGTACCCCAAGGGTCCAAAGGACCCAATAATTGGGTATTCGGTTTTCGGATAGTAGTTATGTAGGTTAGGATTTTGGACAGTATATGATCATTAGGTATTTCGACCCTTGGGGCCTTGGGGCTTGAGGTTTACACTTTCTCTGGTGCAAGATGGAAGCCTGAATTGGTAGTACTTATGACTTTAACTATGCCATAGTATGCTACCAAAATGAAAGCTTATTCGACCTCTCTGGCTTGATAAAGCCTCCTTTTTAGAGCCCCTATCGAGCTAATTTCGAATGCCGTTTGCAAGAGCTTCTTTTTGAGTTCCGATTGCGCGCTGTCTCGTCGGCTTCTCCACTGTAGGCTCCTCCATTGTCTGTGGACAATGTGCACCTGGACCCCGAAGGTTTACAGAATAATGGCCCTTTATAGGTGTGGGGCCATTATTTTACCTACTTTGGGGGGTTGAAGCAGAGAACGAAACCATATGTGGGTGGTTGTCAAAGTTAGGGTCCCTTTTTGGGTCCTGAATATAATGCGGCACCTAATATTTAGGGTACCCCAAAAAGGGACCCTAATTGTGACAGGCGCCCACATGTGATGAGAGTCTCCGGTTGCCAGGACACGCGGTCAATCTGTTGGCCGTCTGGTGGCTCGCTTCGAGGTGCCGGATCCTCTTAGCTAAAGACCCTAAGGCTCCATGTACCCATATACTATATTCAGGTGGGTCTTGCTATAGGGTCTTTCGGTGGGTTCAGGGTTGAGGCATAGGTTGTTATAGTTTTGGGTCTTCACATGGGTCTTTCCCATGGGTCTTTCGGTGGGCTTCGGGTTGAGGCATAGGTTGTTATGGTTTGGGTGCTAGTGGGGTGTGCATGAGTTGAAAATGGAAATGGTCTATGCAAAATTGATGCCTAAACCCCAAACCCTAAACCGGTTAGGGTTTAGGGTTTAGGGTAACTTGAACTTCTTTGCAAACCACAGACCCTGCAGGGCTTCCAGCAGGGACAAGCTGGACTTGAGACCAGGACCGGCCTTCGAGAAGTGTAGGCAGCCTTGTCCTTTTTCATGGTTGCCCCAAAAGAATAAACAGACCGGCTAGTAGACCTTCTTAAATAATGCCTACTGAGGGATATAGGTATAGGGCTCTGTCTATTATCTCTAAAAGGACAAGGGTGATTGTAGGAGGTTCATCGAGATGTTAACGGCCTAATGTAGGCTCTGGGGTTTGAGGAGTCCAGGGCCTATAGGGGTTTAGAAGGTTCGGGTTTGGAGGTTTGGATACGTCCTTACAGAGATACATATTCGGGAATTAAAACATGCCGCATGCCTCGACTAAATCCTAAGCCCGGAACCTCAAGCAACATGCTGAAACTTTCGCCCTCCTATACTATTAACCCTGAACCTCACAGAACAGTCCCAGAAGCCCCAACCCCTAAACCTTGCATACCCAAACAACGAAAGCTAACCATAGAAGCTATAACCCCAACATAACACCCTCATCTGCAAATCTCAACTTCCCCGAAGCACAGGACAGCAGCCCTGTCGCACCCACTTGCGGCGGTCTTCGCGCGTTGGTGGCGGGACCGGGCCTCGACGAAGCTGTTTGTGTTAGAGCGTTTACATTTAGATACACACATATACATACATGCATACATACATATATATAGTTATATATATATATACATATGTATGTGTACAGTTGTATATATATATATATATATATATGTATATGTATGTCATAACGGGTATACTCAAAAAATATGTATATAAGTATCTACATATTGTAGTGTATACATATATATATATATATACATACACACATATGCACGCATTTACATTACACATATTTGTGCTTTCTATACAGCCCACACACACACACACACAAAATTGTCAACAAGGTTGTCTGTCTTTGGGTTTGGGGTGTAGGGACTGTGTTGTCGGGTGTTGAGGCCCTAGAATTGTTGGATTCTTAGGCTTGAAGGTGTTCAGGGTGCAGGGTTCAGGGCTTCGGACTTAAGTTTCAGGGTGATATTATGGTTCCAGACAGGGTTGTCGGGCAAGGCTTATGAGGCAAGGGCAAGTGTCTTACCAGAGATTGTACAACCGTACCAACACGTACTAAATGAAGAACAAACGAGAGAAACCCGCATGCATATGTTTTGGAACATATCTGAGAAGTAGTGCGCGTATAGACACACCCGCGAATGCGAGCGCATGTATGCTGATGAAGGATACTTGGACCCTCCCCAAGCCGTATGCAACCCCGAAAACCCCCAAAGAGTCCAAAGTACCGGTATAGAAGAATGAAGGGTTTCTTTCCTAGGAATTCCTGGTATGATTTGGGGAATATATTCCCCATAATAATACATAGGACCCTTTGGACACTAAACCCTGAGCCCTTAAACCCAAAACCCTAAACCGGAGACCCCTAAACCCTAAACCCTGCAGATCCCTTAAAGGAACCCTTAAGGATCCCTTATGGATCCCTTTAAAGGAACCCCAAACTGTAAACACTTGACACAGTCGACCCGCGGGTGAGAATCCTCGGCCGAAGGGCCCTATTCCTGAACTTTCCTAACCCAACCCTGGTACGGTTTAGGGTTTTGGGGTTTAGTGTTTTGGGGTTTAGGGTTTTCGGGGTTTGGGGTTTAGGGGTTTAGTGTTTTGGGGTTTAGGGTTTTCGGGGTTTGGGGTTTAGGGTTTAGTGTTTTGGGGTTTAGGGTTTTCGGGGTTTGGGGTTTAGGGTTTAGGGTTTCGGCCCCGATCAGTGACACCCTTCATCAACCCCTAGTAGTAGAGTAGGTAACCTTTATCCTTTTTGGGGAGTATAGCCCATGCATAATCCCTATATAACCAGAAAGGTTAGCCTTTAGTTCTCCATGATACCCGACAAGTAGGAACCTCATAGACCCTCAAGCTGAAACCCGAGAGAAAAGGGTCCAAAGGGTGAAAGGATTCAAAAAAGGATCCTAAAACCTAGGCCCTGGGCCCTGAATCCTTCACCTCCCTTTTGGGTCGTAGGTTCCTCTTAGTACTGTCCGATACCAAAATGGGAGCCTTTTTTATTGCTAGGTTGCTGAGAATCCTACCTAGACCCTCCTTCTACATTCTTGACCCTAAATACCTACTATCAGGGACCAGATATCCCCCTGAACCCCGAACCCTAAACCCCTAAACCTTAAACCCTAAACCCCAACCCCCCCCCCCCCCTAAACCTTAAACCCTAAACCCTAAGTACCCAGGAGAGTCTTGGTAGTTCGAGGCCTGTCAGCCTTCGGCGCAGTGCCGACTTTCGCCAGATCGGCTGCCGCACAGGGGCCGTCCGGAGGTCCGGTTCCCTCTCCTTTGGGGTTTGGGGTTTACCTGGACCCTAAGGAACCAACCTGTTTAGGGTTTCCTGATATGATTTCTGTATATGAGTCCTTAGAACGGTAGGTTATTTGGGGTTAAGGCAGGGTTTTGGGCTTGAAAATCGAGTCAGAGCTGAGTGTGTGGGCGCTGTAACAGTTTAGGGGTTTAGAGCTGAAGGAGCTTGGAGTGTGGGGTTTAGGGTTTTACTTGCGAGTCTAGAACTTAGGATTTCCGGTTTCGAGTGTTTAGGGTTCAATGATTTGATCTTGATTCGGCGGGTTTAGGGCTGCAGATTGACAAGTTGCGCCTGAGCTGACCCCAAAAATATCTCAAACGCTGTCAAAGGCACATCGTGATAGGCGGAGGTGCTCCAGATCCTAGAGATTTTGTTGCCTAAAGCAAACGACCCTGAAGCCACCAGACTGAAAACTTTAAAACCCAAGTGCAAAAAACTCCAAACCCTACAATCCTACTGTAACTTCCACCCTGAAAACCCTTAGCACAGAGCAATCTGAGAACAGCTTCATCACGGGTCTAGATTACTTAAAGGATCATGGGACTTAGTAATTACGGTTATTATTAAGGTAACTATACATATAACCCCCGTTAAGGTACTTATAACCATACTTACTAAGTCCCATGATCCTCCAAGTATGTCCGCGGCCAGGCTGGTCGCCACATGTCAAGTCTTGAGACCGCCCCAACCTTCGAAGGCACGGCTGTTATCCAAAGGGTCCTAGATAGTTTTGAGGGATATTTTTTCCAGATCATGATAATGATGCCCAAAACAGAAACCCTATATGCTACTGTATAGGTTCTCAGGACCCTTTGGATTAGGGCTGCATTTGAGGGCTGGGCTTGTAAGGTTTGCGGTCGGGTTTAGGGGGCTTTCAAGGCTTGGGGTTTGGAAGTTTAACGCGTTTGGGGGCTTTGCGAGAGACTTCTGTGTACGTCAATACACAAGCACATAAATGTCTTATAGGGATCCCTACTGAGGCGTTCTATGCAGTGTTCGAAGGGCTTTCGAAGGCATTTAAAAAGTGTCTTACATCAGCTGAACCTAGCGCTTCCGTTACCTCAATAGTTTAGCAGGTTGCTGGGCGGTGCCTGGTGAGGTTTCAGGGCACGCAAAGAAGGACAAGGCCTGGGGGACGTCGTGACGGTACAGAAGCGACGGAGTGGTTTCCTCAACAAAGCGCGCGATTTCCTACAGCAGCAGTGGGACTAGCAGCATGCAGCAGCACCCAGCAACGCGGCGCCAAGTAAGTCCTCGCGAGATAGATAGAGCGACATCGACGCGGGATGTCGGTCCCTATTTCGCAGTGTACTGTACAAGGCATGTATTTACACCAGTGGCCGGTCGCTGTCGGCCGGCACTTCGACCGACTCCGAACGGTTGGTGGTGTCGTTGTGGGGCTTATAGACTGACGATGCATGCGAGGGAGGCGAGTTGGGTTCGGTGCGCCAGGAGCTGTAAAGCTCATCGTCAGCTCCAGTGTTTGGTATCATCTTTGTTGCGTGTTGCTTCAACAAAAGTCACGTGGCTGTTTCTCCTTATCTTTAACTCGATGAGGCAAGTGGGTTTGTGGAAGGTCCAAAACTTGGCGTTCTTCTGGTTGGCTCTTTGAACTTTAACTTCTTGGGTTTCTATATGGACTATACTAAGGAGGCAAAAAGGTTGAACTTCGGGGAGGGGTTCAGAAAGCCAAGAAAAGGTTGGGCGGGTGTTTAGGGCTTCAGAGGTGCCGGGCTTCAAAGGGTGGGATGGTTCATGTAGGGTCTTTTTAGTGCGCTTAGGGGTTACTACAAGGGTACTAGGCTGATGAACTATTTGGTTTAGGTGGAGCATCCACGACAATAGATCCAAGCTGAACGTTCGACGGAATTACATATACATATATGTATACAGTGTGCGGATGACATCCTGAATCTGACACGCCACTTTGTCCCCATAGATGGCTATTGGACAAAATCTGGCACCTTACCCTTCTCCTAAACCGCACTTTTCAGCGGTTTGTTCTGCGGAGCATCCCTTGTCGGGGTTGTTTTCCAAGCCCCCTCTCCTGGCCCAAGAAATTTCATTTTCAGCGCTGAACCCGCTACTTGCTTCAGCATCGAGACCTCACTCCTGAGACCTGAACCCTTGCCCCCAGTTTGTGTTGTGTCAAAGTCATTGTTGGAACACCTGGGTTCCGTCCACCTTCACGCATCATGGTACTTGTCTTGTACCCTGGCCTGGACCCTAAGGAACCTACGTTTTGGGTTCCCTAATATTTTTTATTTATATAAGTCCTTAGAAAGGTAGGATACTTGGGGCTAAGGTATACCCTAAACCCTCTTCCACCAAAACCCTAAACCCGTAGCCCGAAGGTGTAGAAACCCGTAATCCGAGCATTTGACTTTGGAGACTCTTTCCAGGATTCCCGTTGCCACTGGTCCCTTATATGAGCCTGTAGAAGCGGGGACCCTTTGGGATGTCAGGGCTGAGTTCTTTTGGGGGTCTGCAAGACCTTGGTTCCTTAGGTTTTGGCCTTAGCGTTTCCGGGTTTAGGTTGACCCTTTAACCCTTCTGGTGTGAGGCCGACGCGCCAGCTCGCAGGGAACGAGGGTTCTGCGAAGCGTACCTTGGATGCCTGGTGGTGGAGATCTTGTTCTTTGCGTGAAAAATCTGGGGTACCTTTTTACCCTGCCGGCGGATGGTACGGCAATCGCCAGATCTCGGGCTGCTGTCTTGCCACTAGATGATCTTAGCACGAGCCTAAAGCCTAAAATCCAATTCCCAAAAGACCTTGATGTTTAGGGGTCCTAACTTCTAACCATTGGAGTCCCTAAATAAAATAGGTCTCAAGCCTGCAATTCGAAACCTGAACAATGGGCGCCAAACAAACAGTTAAAGCTTTTAGGCTGAAGCCCCATGCAGCCGAAGCTCACCCCCCGGAACAGTCATGTAAACCATTACCTTGAACTACCGTAAGCTACTTTATTGTAGGTTCTTATTATAAGCCCTAGTATTCAAATTATGGGGACCCTACAAAATAGTAGGTTTTGGTAGTTCGAGGTATTACATAATAAGAAGAAGGTCTCTTGGGTCACGGGTACACCCTGAGGGACCTTGGGAAATCCCGAGAAGCCCAAAAGCCCGACTCTACTTCCTAAACCCTCAGCCCCTCAGAAGCACGAAGTCCTACCAAAACCGCGAACCCTGTTTCGAATCCTTAAAGGAAAGACTATAGACTTGCACGACCGATATACCCGAAACCCCTACCGCTCCTGGAAGTTAAGGAGCTTCGCCGTGGACCGTCTCCAAAGCCCTCGCCAGCCCCCGAGGCTTCTTGGAAGGTAATAGGGCCCCCCAAAGGCACATAATAAGCAAAAATTAGGATAGGGATATTCCATATAAATCCCCCTATAATGAAGCCCAATAAGGTAGGGATATCCCCATAAAATGCTTATGCTTATGTGCTTTTTGGGTCCCTAAGGTAAGGGTTTAGGGCTTTAAGGGCTTTTCGGGTTGAGTACTTCGGCTTTCGGCTTCAGGAATTGTGGGCTTTTGGGATTTCAGTACTCCTAGCGCTTTATGGTTTTGTTCTCCTTTTGCTGGGTTCAGGTTTAGAGGGTCTTCGATGGTAGTCTGTAGGGATTTATAGGGATCTTTGCTCCGGGACTTATGCTCTGTGCTGTGGTGTCTTATTCCCTGGGTTTGAGTGGTGTTAGCGGGAATTCAGGGTGTAGGACGCATAAATGCGGTCTTCCCGATATGCTCGTCCCATGAAGAGCAGCCTAAGTACTTGGAACATCCTTCAAACACAAGAATTGCAAGACTCTTTTACGCCCTGAACCCCGTTAGCCATAAATCTCCAACAGGCCTGTGACCTGTTAACCCTGTGTGCTTCGTAAGATATCTGGACACAACAAAGCCCTCATAGAGCCTTCTATCTCCCCTACAAACCCCGTGCAAGCCCCCTTTCAGCTTAAATCGTTACCAATACTATTCCGTAAGTTGCTTCATCTTGTTTAATCAGACTACAATATAACCTAAAACCCTATTCTGGCTATGATACGGCCCCTTTAAACCCTGAACGGAACTCCCTTCCTCGCCTTGAGTGGAGGATGAGAAGCTGGATCACTCGACGGCCTCTCCGTGCGAAGCCTCCGGATCCTTGACCTCCACCGGCACGTCGCCCTCTGCAGGCATCCGGCTTCGACTTCCTGGAATTGGAGGGGTGTGAGGGCTTGTAGAAGTTGATAGGGCTCAGGGTGAAGTGGGCGGTGCGGGGTGTAGTCAAGTACCAAAAACAATTTCCTGATCCTGCGAGCCTTCTTACTGGAGTACTTTGTCAGCTTGACAGTGCTCTAGAGGATTGTTCTGGACATGGCTCTTCTGAGATTGTTGATCGTTTTCTTCGATAACCGCCTCTGGGGTCTTCAAAACGCGTCTAGCCTGCAAGCTGCAGTTAGTCTTTTTACTTCTCTGAGGTACTGCGAACTTTACAATCCCCTACGCAATGCCTTCGTGGATTGCTGATACCAGTAGTGCGGAATAGTGCGGATCTCTGTTTTGTGATTGAAACCCCAAGCTCTGAGTTGTACTGTGCAGAGCCCCTTATCGAACCCTAAAGAGAACATCCCTCAACCCTAACATACGCACCCTGACCCTAATCCCAAACCCGATGTGTGTGGACCTTAAACTCCCAAACCACAAGAGAAAGCCCTTGTAGGAGGCCTTGCAGTACTCCTTAGAAGCCCACTACACTCTATGCCATAAAGAGTGCAAAAGCCTGAGAGGACTTTACTAACTGTCGCAGGGTTTAGAGTTTAGGGTTTGCGGAACCCCAATCTAAACCCCCCCCTTTGCACCGCAGGCGTAGCGGCTAGCGGCAGCTCGGACGCCGATGCGGCAAAGGCTTGGTGGGCCAAGTTCCACTCGAGGGTTTGGGATGGTTTAGGTGTTTCGGGTTCACGGTCCGGTTCCAAGGGTCCACCTAATATCCTTGAGAAAAGGCCCTTTACGACGTTCCTGTGGGGATGCTAAAGAGATGTTATCGGGTTTTATGGGGTATAATAAGGTTGTTGTAGAGTCCATGCATCTATACACGTATAAACTTGGGACGTAGATGCGTGAGAGTGTGTGTCTGTGTATAATATATACATACTCACACACAGACACACTACAGACTTTACGCAGAAAGGCTCTCACATGATTTGCGAGTGCATGGACACGTAAAACTCATCAAGGCGAGAAGGATCCTAACACTAGGTTTTAGGGTTGAGGGGCCCTCCGTTGCGTTTTGTTTTTGCTTTTTGGCTTTGGGGCTTTTGCCCCTTTAACTCGCTGGCTTGGCGCCCTCAGCCTTCTGAACCCTGAGTTGAATTAGTTTAGTTTAGGTTAGTTTAGGGTTTAGCGTTTAGGGTTTCGGGTTTAGGGGTTTAGGGCTCAGGGTTTGGATGCACCCCCCCCAACCATAGCTGCGAAGCAGACCACGCAACGCAACCACTCAACATATACCTGAACCATACCCAGATCCCAATATGATTTTGATGACGCAGGGTTGCCGAAGCAACCATATAGTGACTGTAAGCTTTAACCTACATGCTCAGAACGAACCCAGTGCGTAATCTCTACGATCCTGCTGATAAGCACGCCTTGAGCAAGATACCTCTGTTGCCTGGGCCATGGGCGATCCTTCAGATGCTTCACGTTTGCGACTCCGCAATCCGAGGCTCAGAACTCAGAACACGGCCGAATTATGAACGGCGGCTTTTCGCCCAAAGAGACACGGGTTTGTCTCGTGCTGGAAACCAACGTGCGAGTGCTCGTTATCTACAGAAGGCAAGAACTGTTCCGGGACCAACCCACGACAAAGTCTATGATGTGAAGGAGCAGGACTCCGAACCAGGAGACAGGAAAAGAGCCGGGAAGATAGATAAGCTTACCTTTGGTTAGTAGGGACTGGAGGAATGTGGTACAATTATGATTACTATTGCTACCATTCTTCCATTCCCTACTAACCCAAGGCCAGTATGAGCGAAAAGCGGCGATCCGAGAAGTTCAACATGGCATCAGACTGCGAATTAGCTAATTACCAATAATATTGGTAATTAGGGTTTAGGGTTTGGGGTTGGTTGTCCATGAATGTGCAATGAAAATAATAGCCCTGATCATGAGTACTTTTTTGATATTGACATCAAGAACCATGGTGGTACTGAAGTAACTCTAATGTATAATGACACATGGGAGTTTCCGAAAATAGGGGACCCTAATATAGCACCCTAAATAGTAGAATCCTTATTACAAGGACCCCAAAATAAGGTACCCCAATTTTCGGAATTTCCCATATGTTATGAGAACAAGCGACCTCGGAAGGTGTCCCACTGTCTCGTGACCTCTGCCAGAGCTTTCCTCGCAGCTCGCGGCGTTCCCTGCCGCGGGGGACCAAATTTTGGATTTACGGGGTTCGGGGAAAGGGGTTGGAAGGCGTTGTTTGTGGGGTTTGAGGTTTGGTGTTTATTGCTTCAAAGTTTGAGGTTTTGGAGTTTGGAGTCAGTTCCGCATTTGGATCAACTGGGAGTCAAAAAACCGTACTGGCCAAAATGCGCAAAGTCTGCATATTGCAAACTAATACTGTACGAGGTCATCATGATGTGTCCGGGTGGTTCTAGGTTCAGAATTTGGTTTGACATCCTTGCTGATTTGGGAGGAATGCTAGTGCATCGCATAGATGATTACTGAGATAGGGGAGTTTTAAACTTAGAGGACCCCATCACAAACCCTACAGATAGAATTTGTGCACGACTTCTAACTTAGAGTTATCGCCTTAGTTCGGTCCCTCCTGGATTTGCCATGCTCGCTTCAAGGGTCTAAGGTTGTTCTCTCTATACTCAAAAACCCAAGCTGACTTGGCTGAGCCATGGGTGCAGATCGGCCTGTAGTTGCATGCATTTGTCCTAGAGATCGGGCTTCTAGCAGCCTTGCTTCAGATCTTCGACATCGTCTGCAGTGAATGGCAAACCTAGGAGTGCTTCCCCGACTCCTTTTCGAGTCTTTGGCATGCTGACGGGTTTGATGATTTCGTGACCTACATACTCATACCAAACGTACACTAAAGCCCTGATTAGTCCCGCGATGTAGGCCCACATGGTCACCGAGACAGCTTGCTAGCTCCCGGGGTGTACAGTCTAGGATTACTCGCATCGGTTGTAATGTAGATTTTCAAGGTTTTAGATACAGCTATACAGGTTTAGTACACGTATATGTATGTATGTATATATACTGTGTATATATATATATATATATATATGTATACATAGCATATTTGATTTTTGATTTGTTCAAGCATATACTTACTTATGTCGCTTGTAGACACATATTTATTGATGTCTGTATTGTTTGTTCATATACCTATATAAATACGTATATACACATGTATCCAGCAACCTATATATATATATATAGAGAGAGACCATATATATATATATATATATATATATATATATATATTCATTTGTTTATATAATACATACATACATACATACATGCATACATACATACATATACATACATATGCACAACCACATTTACGTGTACAAACATACATATGTATATACATATATATATATATATATATGGTCACCCCCCCCCCATGACAGACCATCCCCTTTAAAACATCGCTCCCACCGGCGTGTTCGTGCTTTTTCCGGAGTATCGAGTTTGAGCCCTCCGAACGTATCCCTGGAACCACCAAAAGACTGAGACCAGAAAGCAGCACGATAAGGCGCGCGGGTGTCCTACCAAGAAAGGAATTACAGAGCACACGTGTATGGATGAGGGTTGTGCTGACACACTACATAGTAAGCACTACACAGTAATCTTACTTGAGTCATATATAGAGCAGATTCCAGCATTTCCAAAATTTCCAAAATTCTCTCCCCTAACTTTCCAGATTTCCAAAATTTCCAAACTTTCCAAAATTTCCAAAATTTCCCAACCTAGTCGTCAGGATTTTTCCAAAACATAAGGGCGGACTTTTTGGAAATTTTGGAAATTTTGGAAAGTTTGGAAATTTTGGAAATTTTGGAAATTTTAGAAATTTTGGAAATTTTGGAAATTTTGGAAATCCGGAAAGTTAGGGGAGAGAATTTTGGAAATTTTGGAAATGCTGGAATCTGCTCTATAATGACTCAAGTAAGATTACTGTGTAGTGTTTTTAACACTAACGTTGACATGTATATTAATGCTTTCATTTCGAATATGCACATTACTAATTCTATTATTAACATTAATACTCCTACGCCTACCAATAGTCATATTCATATTGATATTAATGCCAATACTAACAGACACCTGCGTATATTAATGTCCGCAGATATACATACCACTATCTGAAAAACAAATATATCAATGCATTCGTGTACTAACGTAGTATATTCGTATTTAATTTGTCATATACCCAGTTTCCAACGTGACAATATACTACTTGTTAACGTCTGATTATACTGTATTGATATGCTAACTTGCTAAGACACGAATACTGTAATATGCAAGTACACTGACACATGGCAATGGTATACTAACATATGGATATACCAAAAAAGTTGTTAGATAATATACGAATATGATAAATGAAGTAGCATACCAGGATACTCATACACTAATATGTTAATAATCGAAGATAATAGCACACCAATATACTAATGTACTCATGCACGAACGTACGCATGCATTAATATACTAAGAGCATACAAACATGCAGGTATACAAACATATTACTGTTCGAATACATTATAATGTGTTGGTATACTAAGCTGTTTATATAATCTATCAGTATACTAATATATCAAAACTAATTATAGTATTGATACGCATACTAGCACGTCCGCGAATATTACACTGATGTTAAATTCATCATTAAGACTGATTAAAACTGACATCGACATTGGCACTGGCATCAACACTAATTATCACTAAATATGCTAGTGTACTAATATACGAATACTGTAAAAGGCAAGTACACTGACATGTTCACATGCCATTATGCCAACATATTGATATACCTATAAGCTATTAGGGAAAATACGAATATAGTAAATGTAGTAATAGACCACTATAATAATATACTAATATACTACTACGTTAACATACGAATATCATGATACACCAATATACTAATGTACTCATGCACCAACGTACTAATATATTCGCGCAATCTTCAACTCTGCAAATATACTATTGTTCGAATACATTACTGTATTATTATATTAAGCTCAAAATGTACGAATCAATCAGTATATTCACATATCAAAACTATTTCTATTACTGATACTAATACCAGCACTTCTGTGAATAATAAACAGATACTAAAACCAGCATTCAGACTGATACTAATACTAACACGAGTACTATTACTGACATTGACATCGACACTGGCACTAACACCAGCACGAACATAATCACGAGTTCATATTTACTATTATTGATATGTATACTTTTATTCAATACTAATACTAATACTGATGCTAATACTAATACTAAATACCAATACCAATACTAGTACTAAAGCAATACCCATCCTAATATCAATACTACCACAAAACTATTACTCATATGAACACTGATACCAGGATTAGGACTACTACAAACAATGACAGCAGTACTAAGAATAGAACCAAGAACAATACATATTAATCCTAACACTAATACTAGGACGCGTTGGGCACGTTTGCCCCGCACTTTGTTGTGCAGACGCCATGCTTGAAGAATGTTGTTGCTGGAATGGTGATGGTTGTGTTTCATAACTCGTATCAGAAACCTAGGATTATAAGAATCTTAGCCAGCCACACACTGGATTTAGTTAAATAATTAAAACATCATTTTATCTTCATCTTCGTCATCATCAAATCATCCTCGGAATCATCCTCAAATCATCCTCTGCCCCACCAATCATCATCTTATTATCATCGGGCTCCCAGGCGTGTAAGTCACACACGAATAAACGCAAGGAGTACTTCCACGCATGCTTCCTCAAAGCCTCCTGCATCACCTGCGAACACAAGCCTAGGCAAACTTGTCTTTGAGGGGCCGTGTTTGTCAGTGCACGTATACACTGCAAGTTTGTATGTGCATTCAAGAGGTCCACGTCCTATCGCAAGCACTCGGCAACACAGCCGGCAGCTAATGAGAATTCACTACCGAAAGAGCATCACACAACCATCTGGCTCAGATGACCGCTGCTAGCATACCGACCCGCTCCATCGCCTCACCTCTTCTCCACTACAGGGTTATGCTACAAGAACATAGTCAATCAATTGGCGCACTGTTCATCCTAGACCCTATAGGCCCTTAGGCGATACCCATCGAAAAACCGTGATGTGTTTGAACCGTGGCAACGGGGCGGAGGGGCCCGAGGATGAATTTTGGATAATCCGCGCAGGACGGAGGATGCCAAGAATGATGGTTTCAGGATAATTAAATGATGAAACGATAAACGGATGATGATTTGAGGATGATTTGGGGATGATTTGAGGATGGTTTGAAGATTTTCTGATGATTTTTTGATGATTTTCTGATGATTTTCTGATGATTTTTTTGAAGATTTTCTGATGATTTTTTGATGATTTTTTGAAGATTCCCTGGGGCATTCACACATTTCCCGATTTCCCCACTCCCTGCCCCTGCCTGCCCCTGCCCTCCCCTCCCGGGCGCCCTGAAGATTTTTTGATGATTTTTTGATGATTCCCTGGGGCATTCACACATTTCCCGATTTCCCCACTCCCTGCCCCTGCCTGCCCCTGCCCTCCCTTGCCGGGCGCCCCCCCTGCCTGGGCAACGACGGTTTGAGGCCGTGGCTCAGCGTCACCGAATCATCCTCCAATCTTGACTTTTCCAAACTGCCATCCCAAAATCATCCTCAAATCCATCCCCTCCAATCCTGGTTTCCTCGAATCATCGTCTCCAGAACATCCTCGCCAGATCATCTGCGACCTGCGTGCCACAAAAACCGTCGATTCAACACGCCTGCGATCTCTGATGACCTGGTTCCATATCTGTTTCTGTTGTCTGCGCACACGATACGCGTCGCAATGCATTCCATAGCACAGTCTAGAGTCTAGAATATAGAGTCTGCAGAATCTAGAGTATAGAGGAAGTGTCGGGACTGGAGTGAACAGGGAGCATCTTCCAGCAGGAGGAAAAAGAAGCTTCGAGCAAATTCCATCCATTTTAATCTACATGTCACTGGTGTCACCATCAATAGCCACAACAACAATGTCCTGCAAGTGGAGAGTGCAGAGTTGACTACTCCTGATGATATGATGCTTCGACTTACTGATGGGGATGGTTCGTCGATGATGACTACGGATGAGGATGATTTTCGGATGATGTTTTCAACCAGGGTGAAAATGATGATGATGTTGGCCATGATTTGAGGATGGCCAGAACGATGATTTTTTGATAAACTAATTCATTTAGGCTATGCCAACGTGTCCACGCAAGAATCTTATAAACCTAGGAAAACGCTGGCAGGGACGATGAATTTGGGATTCGACAAGAGAGACGACACAGATGACGACAAGGAAAACTGTTGGAACATGATATTGTTGCAACTGGTTTGGAAGGGTGCATTCAGGAGGTCGAACTTTGGAGTTCGACCTTCGAAAATGGGAATGCTTCGAGCAATTGCGCGGCAGGGAAACCTTGTTTTGCGTGTGCACGCCTGTCACTGTGCGAGGCCTAGCCAGGACGTGTCTGTCCAGGCCACAGCGGGAGAGACTTTGTCTTCACAGAAGGCTCTGTAAGCAACCACAGCATCGATGACACTTTGCAATCCAGGCTCTTGGTTCAGGTGGAAGGACGCCAGGGCATCAACGTGGTCACGATCTTTGCTCAGGCATTTCTCTCCGAGCTTATTCGTTCTCCGCAGGGCCTTTTTGATCGTCCCGGCGAGAGATTCTGCACGTTGGTCGCCTCCCACCATTGTGACCTTTCTGGCAGTGATCTTCGCCCGGTTGCCAAAACTCAAGTTTGAGAGAGCATGCGAACCCAGTTGTTTTCTCGGGACCTTCGTCACGGGGGTGTATTCTGCTCTATTGTGTCTGGCTGTCGCCGACACCATTCCGAGAGCTCGCCAGGTCACTCGAAGCAGCGGCTGGTGCACAGCACAAGCGGACACATCCATCGCAGTGTCTGTCAACGGCTCCGATACTTGCCAGCGCTGACAAAACCTCATCCACCTGCGCTCGAGACTCTGCGGAGAAGTGCCTGTGGACCTGCTCTGCGCGCAGCCAGGGTTGCCCATCTCCTGACACAAGCATCAAAGCCTGGAGGACTTCTGCACATGGATTCCGGCCAAAAAAAACTCCGGCAGCCACGTCTTCATCCTCTGAGCAGACTGTCAAGGGCGAGAAAGCCTGCAAGGAAAGAGCGTCGCTTCGGATGCTCCATGGCGAAGAGGGATCATATCTCCATATCTCACCCTCTTATGGGGCGGGGCTTGGTTCATCCTGGCTGCTGCTCCCAAGCAAAGAGTGTCAGGCGTACGGCTTCAATGGACGTCACTATTAGGTCATTATGGTTCTGACAGAGGATGCTTTGCCCATATGACTCACAGAGTGACCCAGGGAACTAACAAAAGCCAAGCATTGCTGACGGTGAGGTCAAGCTCAGTCCACGCATCGCAGATCAGACTGCTCCGGCGCAGAACCAGCTCGCCAGCAACTTCCATTGCTAGAGAGGCTCGAGTGCCTACGGCCTCTGAAGCCCAAGGCTTCACATATGGGGTGACAAGGTTAAGGCTATAAAGTCGAGGGCTGAAGGAGCGGGGCCTCATCAGCCTTGCCAGCATTGCCAGCAACAGGCATCATCATCGCGGTCATCATCAACTCATGATCACCATCAATGTGGGCAGCAGCATCGGCAGCAATATTGTCATCATCATGTCATGATCCAAACGGTCATCATCATGTGCCATCATCAGGTCGTCATCATCATCATGCGACATCATCAGGTCATCATCATCATCATGTGTCATCATCATGTCAACATCATGTCATCATCATGCGTCATCATGTCAACATCATCATGATGATCATAGCAGCAACATCGTCACAACAACAAAGTGCGGGGCAAACGTGCCCAACGCACCCTAATACTAGTACTAATACTAGCTACTAATTCTAATACTCATACTCATACCAATACTAATGTCACCACTACTGCTGCTACTACTACTGCTACTACTACTACTACGACGACGACTACTACTACTACTACACATACTTAATACTAAAACTAATACTGATACTCATACTAGTCACTAATACTAATACAAATACTCATTCTAATACTAATACAAATACCAATACTAATGCTACCACTACTACTGCTGTGCGACAACTATTGCTAGTACGACGACTACTACTATTAACATCAATACACATACTTAATGCTAATACTAAGAGTAATACTAATTCGAATACTATTACACATACTAAACATCCTAATATCAATACTACCACAAAACTAATACTAATGCTAACACTGATACAAGAATTAAGATCTACAAACAGTAATAGTGGTACGAAGAGCAGAATTGAGATTAAGATTGGGACTAGGAGCGCTGCATGCGTGTGAAGAAATTTCCAAAAATTGCAAACCATCTAAACGAACATTTTGGAATTGAGTTTGGGAGAAGTGTCTGTCGCCTATCCGTTGACAGATCCTGTCTGGGGACGCACGCCACCCTTCCCCTTCCCCACGACGGTCTGTCATGGGGGGGGGGTGAGCTATATATATATATATGTTTGCATACACACATATATTTGTAGACCACTGCCAAGGCAAAGTGAAGACTGCAGAGCCTTCAGCCGGAAGTTATCGCCTGGACTCGGACACGGAAGGCCTGGGAAGCAAAGATGGGGGGGCTTTGTAGTAACATAGGGGCTTCAATAATTACCTATACTGCTTATGAGAATTATAGTATAATGGGCCCCAAAACCAATTCTGATTGCTAAGGCCCCTACATTAAATGCCTCTGCGGGGTTGCGTAAGGGTGCTGTTCACAAGGTTCTATGTCGTTGTTTTTTCAAGGATTTGACCAGCTTTTTTGGCTCTGAGGGGTTGTACGGGGTTTATGGGATTGAACGGCATACAGTGCAAGCCATCAGGGTTGAACATGCAAAAATCGGCAGCATGCTCCGTCTTTCACCGTTCTAATTAGACCCTGTGTTTAGTTGAGTAAGTAACCCTTAACCTTCCGGCGTTTATATATTCCAACCATGTTCAAGAAGTTGCATTGGCTATTTGTTAATCCTTTCGCGTGAGTTTTCCCAGCCATAGAGCTTTCTCGTGACGAGCCCCCAAGTTCCAAACTTAATTCCAACATCGTGCCAAAATATTCAGACCCCCGCGCCCCCCCCGCCCCCCCCCCCCCGATAGCCCTTAAGGAGGCTTCATGTGCTTCACAGCTCTTAAAGCCCTTCTTACCCTGAAGTTCTAGCCCTGATCAGACCCTGCAGCCGGATGACCCTTTGGCATTGTTTGAATTGGGAGTTTCCGACAATTAGGGGTCCTTATAACCGGGATCCTATACTACTTAGGGTACTCTATCAGAGTCCCACATTTTCGGAGACTCCCAATTAGTTGTTGTTGCTTTCCCTGCTGTGGGTGTCGGAATGATCTGTAGCAACTCTTCAAAAGGAGTATTTGAAGGAAGCCTATTGTTTTCTCCTTGCTGCTTTAAGGGCGCTGTTTTCGAGATCTCCGAGAGCCTTCTTCCAGTACCCTTATAAAGATCTCTCAACGGACCTCCTCAAAGTGGCCCTTTGTTGTGCGAACGGTCGGCTGCTTGCAGCCAGGCTCGGATCAAGAGCTCGGTGAGTGGCGGCGGGGCGCAAAGGACCGAGTCTGAAATGCCCAGAGATCCCAATACCCCTTGATTCAGGGATACACCTTAAGCCATAGTATTAAGGCCCCTATAAATTAAGTTATGTTTCTTAATTAAGGGGTATTGGGTTCTCTGGGTGCTATCTCGCTGCTACATGGGTGGTTGTCAAAAGTAGTGTCCCTTTTTGGGTACCCTAAATATTAGGTGCCGTATCATATTAGGCCCTGGCAGTCATGTTGGTGCGCACAAGTAGGGATAGATATAGAGATAGAGACAGCTAGACGATGGATACATAGATCATAGACGGATAGATTGAGAGACCGATAAACTTCATGTATAACTGAATGTGCAGATAGGACATAAAAATGTGTATATTCCGACTACATGCAAGACCGAAACAGTAGACCATGGACGTTTCAGAATCAGAGAGCTCTCCCCCCCTCCCCGGGTTGCAGTCCATCTATGGCTTGGGGGCTTTTGGAGGCCCGAGCCACTTTGGCAGGCGGTTTGGGGTTCAGGGTTACGGTTGATGATATAAATCGTGGATGACCCACAATAAGGAATATACCATAGCTCTCATAGTTAAGGGTCCTTAAGGTCATGCAGGAATTATAACATCAACCCTAAACCCTCAACCCCAAACCCCCTATAGATCCCTTAAAGGAGCCCCTTACAGGTACCCTTACAGTATGTCTCCATCATTTAGGCCGAAAATGTGCGCAGGTTTTGGGGGTTCAGGGGTTTAGGGGTTTAGGGTTTTTAGGGTTTAGGGTCTAGGCGGTCTAGGGGTTTAGGGTTTAGGGTTTATGGGTTTAGGGTTTCCCTACCTATAGTCTCGTTGCTCTTACACCCAGCTCGTCGCTATTGCGTCCGCCATACGAGCCGACGTTCATCGTCCTCCATGCGCGCCGGCGTTGTAGCATATCCACTAACCTATAGTCTCCATTGTAGTTCCTTTTGGGGTTCCCTTATAGGATCCTACTTACATATTTGGTTAAACCAAAAAAAGAAATACAACGGAGACTATAGGTAAACCCATATCCCGAAGGTCTAAACCCTCGGAACAGGGCTGAACCATTTATTTCGAATCTCCGGGTCTAAGAAATCCAAACTCCAACACCTCAAATCCTGAGAAGGCCGAGAGAAGGGCAACTACATGCTCGAAGCGAAGTCAGACCCCAGTTATCCTGTACTACCTAAGTTAGAGATAGAAGCCGCCATCCTCAAATCCGTAAACTTTTCGTCGAAGGACGTCTTGGCAGCAGCAAAGCTGCTGGTACGGGAGGCCTGCGCTGAGGGTCATCACCTGAGGAGTCCCTAAGGGTTATCATTTTATGATTTTAGGTGCTTTTAGGGGCAATATAGGGGTTATCCTTCTAATCTAGGTTTTTTTTTCTGGGCAATGTAGGGGTTATCATTCTGATTAGGGTCGTTATCCACTTACAAACTTGGCACTTTGCTGGGTGCGGAACTGGCATGGCAGTCAGTATGGTCTCCACATACAGCCTTTTGCACATCATGGAGACATCGCAGCCATCAGGAAAGCTCAGCACAAGGATATCCTGGACACCGTGGTCGAAAAGAGTCGCAAGCTCTCCTCGGAGCAGTATGCCTGGGCCGTGAGAACTTGGCCTCAGCACAGGTCGTCCACAGGCCGTGCCCGTCGGCTATAAGCTCTCTCAACTGACCACCTGCAAGGCAACTGCCTTTCCGACATCGCTGACATCTGCTCAAGGTCGACGGCACACGTCAGAGTACGAGCACCCGTCATCTCCAGAACATATACATAGGTCTGGCGAGTCGTGACATCCCTCTGAAGCCCCTATCTCCTATGTATTTGCCCGGTTATACGTACACCTAAAGCCCAAATCCAATTCTTAAGGCCCCTACCTCACTTAGAAGCCTGCTAGATCTCCTAGAGAATGAAGCCCATCAAATCCCTGCAACAGCCTATGTATCACCACCCCTTCTAGCTATTGTGGAACCCATGTAGATCCCTTGCCGCCACAGGTCCGACTCGCCGAATCCTGGAGCGCTGGCAGTGCGCGAAAGCTGCCGGACTTCTTCGCCGCAGATGTGGCGGACGAGCTTTCCGGCCAAGGGTGTTTGGGGTTTATTTCTGGTTGAGGGTTGACTGAGGCGTCCAGGGCCTTATTCGTGGTTTAATTAGGGTTTAACTGGGGATGTACGGTTTTCTTTAGGGGTTTTGGGGACTGGTGGGAATTTATAGGGTTCAATCAGGTTTTAACCCGCGGTCTGGGTCCAGGATGCGGGCTTCAGGGTTAAAGGCCATAGGGGCCCAGGGATTAGGGTTTAGAGATTAGGGTTTAGGGTTTAGAGATTAGGGTTTAGGGTTTAGGGATTAGGGTTTGGAGGTTAATTAGGCCAGACCACTTTTCGGCCATTGGAGGGCAAGTCCTGAGCCAGATCTGTACATGTAAAGGCAACAACTGCTCACAAGCAAATCCGCTGTGTGTATAGATGTACATACATACATGCATGCATACATACATAGTGCATACAGGTGCAAATCTGCATATAGTATGTGTGTACATACACACATACATACGTATGTACATATATACACACGCATATGCACGTACGCATATATGTATGTCTGTGTGTGTGTATATATATATATATATATATATATATACGTATATGAAGCTTGGAGCAATTTTGCTGGTTCGAGCTATGGAATTTGCAGTAATGAGCTCAAATCTGCTTGTGTTTTGAGTCTTCTTGTTTTCCGAAATCTGTTATGGTTTGGAGCTTAGACATGTGTGGGAATCTAGAATCATACGATCTGACAGGTTGTGAGAGTGGAGTTTGAGAGCGAGAGCTTTAAACCCGGACGCATTCAATGGACATAAAACCCTACTGTAAACACATTTCGGACCCTTGTAATCGAGATCCGAAAACCCCATAATTGAACCTTACCCTAGTGCCCCGGAAAGGAACGCTTAAAGGCAGCCCTGAAATCCTGATAAACCCCAAAGGACGCACCTTGGGTACTGCCCCCACTCAGTAACAGTTGGATAACATTCACAATATAGATATATCAGGACCTTAATCGTAGCCCTATTATAGACTCTTACTGTATAGACTGTTCATGTATGGGGGCAGTACCCAAGACACACCCCATGACCCCCGGGAGGATCCAAAAAGTAGACCCTAAACCCTCAGCCCTAAACCCCCAAACCCTAAACCCTAGGGGTCCCTTAAAGGAACCCTTATAGATCCCTTTAAAGGAACCCTAAACCCTAGAGGTCTGGACCCACTAAAGGCTCTGGGCTCCCATAAACCCTAAAGATCCCTTAAAGGAACCCCTATAGATCACCATTACGGTAGCTTAAGATAACTCTGTAAAATGTTGCCGGGCCTGTTCTTTCTCAACTCCGAAACCCTGTCACCCCCAATTCTCCAAGGGTAAAAGGAGGGACCCTTGATAAGGACCCCTAGGCATATGCCCTTAATATAGCTATGATATACCCATTATATAAGCCATTCTTGGGTAGGGGTCCCCATTAATTAAGGGTCCCTCCTTTTCCCCTAAACCCCCTAAACCCCCAAAAAACCCTAAACCCCATACCCTTAAAGGCTCTGGGCTCGGCCCCCCGGCTCTGCCGGTCGCTTCTCGAGCTCTGCATCGGCGGAGGAGCGTCCAACCACGGCCGCTGGGAGCAAGAAGAGGGCGTTTGGCAGTTTTGATAATAAAAATAATAATAATAATAATAATAATGATATATATCTTTATATATATATATATATATATATATATATATATAGATCGGGAGAGAGAGAGAGAGAGAGAGAGAGAGAGAGAGAGAGAGAGATGTATGTATAGGGTTTTACATGATTTGATAGGGCTCGAATCGGGCTTTATCGCGGTTCAGAGGGCTTTGTGGAGTTTATTTGGCTTTACGAAGTTTTATCGGGCTTCTTAAAGGGTCTTTTTGGAGCTTTTAGGATTCCTTTATGGGTTGGTTTAAGGGTTCTGTAAAGGCCTTAGCAGGGATCCATAATGAGGGGTTTGGGAGTCTGAGACTGAGATTCAAGAAGAGAGCATCTTAACCGTTTCTGGATAGTTTTGCAGGGCTTCGAAAAGGCTTGTTCAGGGTTTCTGGTCTGTTTCTAGGGTTACATTTAGGCATAAGGGTCAAAGGCCCTGATAAGTGGTACTTGGGTTTTGGATACTAGTTTTGCAGGTCCGTGATTGGGAAAGTATATGATTGCGAACTGTGCACGCGGATAGTGTGGTGCTCAATACTTCGCATTGTGAAGGCTTGTTTTCGCGAGCGCAGGGACTTGGCAAGTCGTATTGCGAGCTATCCGTCAAGTTGGGATAGCTTGGCTCGATGCTTGGTTGAATTCGCGTTTGTGTAGTTTTCTTTTCGAGGTTGCATTTAATTACATGGAAGCATGTAGAACATGTTGTTGAGGCAGCTGCCGCAAGCTTGTTCGAGAGCTGTTCTGCACTACGTCAGTTACTTGCCAGAACCAGAACCTTACACCGTAGCCGACCGTAACACCCTAAGCTACCCAATAACCGAAGACAACAAACCAACCAGGCAGCCCTCAATCTCCAACAATCCTGAAGCATCCAAAACCGTAAGCCCATGTAAACCTGAAGCCCAAGCCCCCAAACCCAAAGCGCCTGAGCGCCGCAACCCTACTCACGAACTCCAACCGCCCAAACCCAAACCCCCAAAACCCTGCAGCCCTGAACCTGGACCCTAAGAGCTATTATCTAATTGCATCTTCACGGTTTCTGAAGGTATTATTACTAGTATTGATATTTACATTGATAACACTGGGTCTTTTAAACATTTCTTTTAATTCTACAACTCTTATCTAACCTTAATGGTTTGGCCCATGACCTCCCGAATAAATCCTACCCCTAAACTCCCTAAACCCTACACCCCTAAACCCTAAACCCCTGAACCCCTAAACCCCTAAACCCTAAACCCCTAAACCCCTAAACCCTAAACCCCTAAGCCCTAAACCCCTCAGCCCCTAAACCCTAAACCCTTATAAGGCCCATGACCCCATGACCTCCCGAATAAACCCACCGTTTTGCGCGCGGACGCGGAGGCCTGGCTCTCTTGTGCCGAGGAGCCCTCAGCGCCTTCCCTCGACGAGGTGGGGTTTAAGAGTTTTTGGGGGGCTTTTTAGGGCTTCTTAGAGGGTTTAAGAGTTTTTGGGGGCTTTTTGGGGCTTCTTAGAGGGTTTAAGAGTTGTTGCGGGGCTTTTTAGAGCTTCTCAGACAGAACAACGGATTGTGTTATAGTCGGGAATCTATCACTGTTTGTCAGGCTTCCGAAAGCAACAAGCAGGCTAGAAGGGTTGCGATATCATGGCTCGGCTAGTGTCTTCAAGTGCGCGACAGGTTTGGGTTCTCGGTTCAAGGTTCCGAAACACAGCGTAACCCTGATTCAACCCCGGTTACGGCCTTCAAACTTGGTTGCAACCACCCTAGCCAGTCAAAGCATGTTGTTGATTGTTTGGGGAGGTTCTGGCAGAGCTCGAGGGGGAACGTCGAGCGAGACGAGCTTCTCGGCTCCGTCACATCGGGTTCCTTTTTGGGTTAGCGGAAGGGTTACTATGTAAGGGCTACTAAAAAGGGTTCTCTCAGGGTTCTAGAATGATCTCAGAGTTTGATTTCAGGATTTTAGGAGCTTCCGGGCTTTCAGGTTTCAGGAATGGAGATTTCAGGGCATCGGTGTTTCAGGATTCATGGTTTCATGGCTTCCGGGATAGAGAGCTTTAGGAGAAATGGTGCATGGCTTTGGGATGGTCTTGTTGGGTTGTCTGGAGCTGGAGCTCTGTTTGCATGGAGATCTCCAACCATAAAGGCAAGGGTAGACCGTCAAAGAGATTGGCTTCCTTGTTGAATGCTGGCTAGAAACGTAGAGACTGTCTATGGGCGTGTGCTTGGGGAATATTTATATTAGCACTAGCTATACAGACCTCTGTATGAAGCAAATCTCATCCAGACCCTTGCTTGCAGCTCTCTCTTAGCAAGATGGCAGTCTTCCACCTCGATGGAGACCCATTGTTCCAAATCTCAGATCATTGATCTGCCAAAGTCTATGCAGACCTGCACCACTACCACATTACATCCTAAACACCGAAGCTTTCCAGGCTCCACACCTTAGCATTACCAAAACACAAGAATCCTAATATGGGGGGGCCTTAATAATTACCTATACTATTTCAGGGGTTCCTTGTGAGCATAGTATAATGGGCCCCAAAACCCTATTCTAATTATTAAGGCCCCTATGTCACATCCCGGGTCAGGACTGCGCGGCGGAACTTCGAGATGTGGAGGATCTTGGGAATTCGGTCTGCGGAGTTGTGGGGTTTTGGAGCATTTTAGGCGCTTCATCCCAAGAGCCCGGAAAACCAATGCTGAACCGCAAAACCCTAACCCTAAACCCTAAACCCTAAACCCTACATATCCTGAAGGCCTATAGGCCCTAAACCCGAAAGCCTAAGTCCTTGAACTTTGGAATCCTCAGATCCTAAATGCTAAATCCCTTGTCCGTTTTCCCTAGAACCCTGCATCCAAAACCCTTAACCGAAAGAGAACGAGAGGGTTGGTGCAGGGTTTGAAACAACATTTGTTTAAGGGTTTAGGGTTTAGGGTTTAGGGTTTAGGAGTAGTGCACTGGTGGATGGCACAGGTACTGATTTTGGTTTTCGTTTCGGGCCTTCACTGAGAGTTAAGATCCTACGCTTTGTTTAGTGCGATTCTGGGCGTAGGTTTAGGGAGTTTAGGGTTTTACGGTTTGGCGTTAAGGTGTAAGAGTTCTAGAACCTCATGAGCTCTCGTAGAGGCCTATGTACCAACCTCGTGGAACCGCAATATCGCCCTTATAGAAGCTGCGCAGAAAGCCTTACATAAGCAATCCCTACAACAATGCCACATATGGCCTAAATCAGCAGCCTTATTGATCCCATTTGGGGATTTCCGAAAATAAGGGAGCCTAATATAGTACCCCAAATAGTAGGATCCTTTTTGTAAGGACCCCTAAATAAGGTACCCCTATATTTTCGGAAACTCCCATTTAGAAGCCTTGTGAGGGAAGATTCATCGGAGTGTGGGGAGCTTTAGGTGGGCTTAACCTTCAACCCGAAGTCCACCTCCCCCCGGCTTACCCGCCAAGAAGAGCCGCACCAAACATGAAATCCCGAACTTGTTAATGTTGTCAGGTCTTGAGAGTTACTTGAAGGCTCATGGGACTTAGTAAGTAAGGTTATAAGTAGGTTATAATTAGGATAACCCCAGTTAGGGGACTTATAACCCCAACTATAACCTACTTACTAAGTCCCATGATCCTCTAAGTATGGAGGAGTTAGGATGTCGAGGGGCAAGTTTGGGGGGCTTGAGGGTTTAGGGAGGCTTTGGGCTAAATTGCTCTGGGGTTGGTTTTTGTCTGTTTGGTTGTCGGGTTTAGGGTTTAGGGTAGGTTTGCTTCATAACTTTCAATAGCAGTCTGAGGCTTAGTTGGTTAAGGGCTCATTTTTTCAATGCCTTTTTTTCAAGCAGCACATGACATGTTCCATATACCGCACAGTCTCTGAAGGAAGAGACTGTGAAATGTGAGGCACACCGCCTAGAAGCGAGACATGGCATGCCTGTAATAGTAGTTATGTAGGTTACTATTTCGGAGAGTATATGATTATTGGGTACTTGGACCCTTAGGGTTAGGCTAAGGGTTTAGCCGGGTTTAGTGTGAGCTTTCGAATTTTCGCAAAGCGAGTTTAGAACTCCCAAAGGGTCCTAGGTACTGATATGGGGACTACTTCCCAAATTCATAATAGTAGGTCTTAATATAGAAACCCTACATTCTACTATATTGGTACTTTGGACCCTTTGGGACTTAGACTCAGGGAGCGCAGAGGAAGTTCGCAAGTGAGAGTTTCCGAAAATTAGGGCGTGCCTTGAAAGGGATCCTTAAAGGGATCTATAAAGGGTTCTATAAAGGGTTTAGGGTTTAGAGTTTCCGAAAATTAGGGCGTGCCTTATATGGGGTCGTTATGATAAGGATCCTAGTATTTACGGAACTATATTCGGGTCCCCTATTTTCGGAAACTCCCAAGTGTGCTTCCAGGAGCAGAAGGAGCTTCTCCGTGCAGAGGCTGGTGCTTCTAATGTAGAGGTCAGAAAAATTTGCCACATTATCCCGAAAGCTTCATTGACACATGCGACTCGTGACTTCGCGAGTATGAGTAAGCGGATTGCGAGACAGGTTTCTGTTACGGCTTGCAGTGTGGATTAAGTCTTGCAGTGGCTTTCCGGATGCTCTTCTGAGTCGTGACCTTCTTTCTCTGGATACCATGGTACCCATACATGTGAAGGAGTTTAACCCCTGGCAGAGGAGGACTTCCCAAGTGGTTCAATGCCCCCCCCCCTTTCTTTGAGGTTTCATGAGTAGTTATATAGAAGTGGGGTTATAAGTCCCGTAATTAATTTGTGTGGCGACTACAATCTACAGTTACTGCTCCCTGAACCATGAACTGTCCCTACCGTACTTATATCCCTAAGGGTCCATGTACCCAAATAGTATATACTTTGGCCCCAAAGTACCTGTAATAGAGACTACTTTATCCATGGACACGTATAAACCCTAAACTTGGCCCTAAACCCTATAGATTCCTTATTTATAGAGCCGTTTTGGTACCCTTAAAGGAGCCCTATCTGGTACATCCAAACATACAGTACCCTTAATGTTCGGAAACTTTTTTTCTGATTACTCATTTCAGTAGAAGCCCAGAAAGTTGGAATATGGTTTCATGGTAGGATACCCTATAATTTACCATAAAGGGTTTAGGATAATCATATTCCAACTTTCCGGCTTTTACGTTAAGCTCCGAAAGCCCGCGAGGTAGAGCAGCTCAGCCACGGTGTCGACGTTCTGAGAGCTGAGCTGCAGGCACGGCTTGGGTTCAAGGGTTCAGGGCTTTAGGGTTTCGGCGTTTAGGGCTTTAGGGCTTCACAGGGTTTCGGGGTTTAGGGGTTAAGGCTTAAGGGTTTCGTGGTTTAGGAGTTTAGGGGCTTGGGTCTGAGGGATTAGGTCGGGGGTTTAGGACAACTTCACGGTTTCTCTTTTTGTCGTGAATATGACCCCAAATCGAGGAGTATGTGTGAGAGTGTGCATAGACACTTATACACACACTCTACTTTCACCTGAATGCTGCACATGTATCTGTGTTTGAACCCTAAACCCTAAAGCCTTGAGTATCCGAGCCTGCATACACAGAGGCATGTGCGTCGTTTGCACACGACTTCGATGACCGATGCCAGTTTGGGAGTTCTTCTGGGACTCTTCCTCTTCCTCGAGATGTGCCAATCCTCTGATGGAGCTCATGTAACGAAAGCCTGCACTGCCGTCATCGGTAATTTCCGAGTTTTTTTCACATTGCACAGGGCGTAAGGCATAAGGCCTTGCATGGCTGGGCCGGATGTGCAGGTGGCCAACGTGCAGATTCCCGAGCTCTGCCGCGACCGCCAGGATTTGTGCCTCGGGCTGCACTTGGGGGCCTCAGTCTCGAGGGCAGTTTCGAAACCGCCATATTTCAAATTTGAGGGGATGGCTTAAGTACTTTCCAGCATTTTGCCGCAGAAGCCCTGCAACGATAACCCTCGGTGAAGAAGGTGCTGGGGTTGTCGATGCAAATGGACAGCAGTGAGCCCATCGAGAACAAGGTGGATGCGATGAAGCCCCGGAGCAGTGTGCCCCTGGAGAACACAGTGCCGGAAGAGCCGGATGCCATGAAGCCCAAGAGCAGTGTGGTGCCCATGGAGAACGAAGTGCCGGAGGTTTCGACTTCCGTTTTGGGGGATGGAGTGAAGCCCGAGAGCAGTGTGCCCATGGAGATGGAGAGCAAAGTGCTGGAGGTTTCGGTCCCGAAACCCGTAAGCCCTAGACACCCCGTAAGCTACACCTTCGAACCTCCAACCCGAACCCCTAAACTTGAAACCGCATACCTCAGAAATTGTAAGCGCCAAACAGCCTAGACCCCAGGAACGCAGGCCCTAAACCCTAAAGCCATCAAAGGGCAATGTGAGTTAAAGGTGTATAGGTGTATGATTTAGGATCCAACCCTGGCCCTGCTGCTGCATTGTTCATGTACCCATACCGTATATACAATATACTTCGGCTTGAAAGGGTTTCCCATATAGCACCTTCAAGTCCAAAGCATGTTCTGTATTGGCACATAGACTTTAAGGCTTGACGGGCTCTTCGCTTGAAGGAAACCCCAAACTCCAAGTCACAGTCGCCCGAGACTTACCTAGCCTGCCTTTCTTTGTGCTGTCCGTCGAACTACGCTATATGCTTGCCGTGCTTCAATCGAGGAGTAACCCTTCCAGTGGCCCTATATGTTAGAAGGGGCCCCCAACCTGTAATAGTGGTAATAGGGCCCTAATATAATCCTTATAGTCACTATTACAGGTGGGGGCAGCTTCTAACCTATATATAGGATCCTCCGAGGCGCCCTTGAAATGAGCCTTAAAGCAGCTTACTCGGGGCTTTGAAGACACACAGGGTTCCTATACTACACCCCTCCCTCAGGCCTGTTGGGATTCTTGAGGCCCCCATATCACACCTTCATAACTGATTCATAAACAATACCTCAATATAGGAACCATTGTAGACCCTCGAAGAGAAAGGCCTAATTCTAATTCAGAAACATGAAGAGGGGCCCCTCAAAGGAGCCTTAAACCGTCAACCCGATGCCCTAAACCCAGCACCCAAATCCTGGGCCCTAACACCTTTTCCGAGCAAAACCCGAAGCCCTCTTCCTTTCGAAAAGGAAGCCCCGCCACCCTAAACCCTAAACCCTTCTTTTTTTTATTTAAGAAGCCGAAAACCCTTAAACACAAACAACCTACTTGGAGGTTCATGGGAAGTTATAGGTTGGGTTATAAGTCCCCTAATATGGGTTATAAGTACAGTTGCCCTGCTCAGTCATATCCCTGCTTATAACTAGCCATGAACCTCCAAGTAGGCCCTAAACCATATACTCCCATAGAATCCCTATAGATCCCTTTAAAGGGACTCTTTTCCATCCCAAGAACCTAGAAGTAAACCCAACGAGACATCGGCGACCGAGGCTCCAGGCCCTGCAGGAGATGCGGGAGACGACCAACCCAGGCGCTCTTTGCTTTGGGGTTTAGGGTTTAGGGTTTGGGGTTTAGGGTTTAGGGTTTAGGGTTTAGAGTTTAGGGTTTAGGGTTTAGGGTTTAGGATGCGTTGTAGCCTCTGGGCTCGATGCAGCTGTCCGTCTTCCCTAGTTTGTCCTACCAGAGGATTCGCTTTGCTTCAGGCCTCTCGGAGAGCTCTGCTGTGGAAGCTGTTTAGGGATTCTAATGTCTAGGGTTTCGGGATTAAAGGTTTAGGGGTTAGGGCTGTATAAAGGTTTAGCGGTTAGGGGTGTGGGTTTGGGGATTTAGGGTTTCGGGATTGGGGTTTAGGGTTCAGGGTTTAGGGATTAGTGTTTGGGAGTTCAGGTTTGGGGATTACGGTTTAGGATTAGGGTTTAGGAAGCTTTCCATGGTGTTGAAGGGCTTGAGTTTAGGGTGTGAGGGTTTGGAGGTTTAAGAGGTTAGAGTTTAGGTAGGGATCTAGCGGTTTAGGGCTTTTGGGCTGCAGGGTTTTAGGGTCTCAGATTGCGATCTTCATAATTTTCTTGTGCGGCTTTGGGGTTTAGGCCTTTTAGGGCAAGAGTCTGGAATTTGGGCGGCTGTAATAACCGCCGTTTCAGGGAAACAGCCGGGATTGCGTTGAGGCAATTGTAGGGGCCTGAGCATGCAAAACATAGCCGCATACTTCCCCCACAACTCGTAATATATATGTATATATATATATATATGTATATGTATATGTATATGTATATGTATATGTATATATGTATGTATATATATACACAGAATTATACACATATGTATGTATGTATGTATGTATGTATGTATGTATGTATGTATGTATGTGTATTTCTATACATATGTATATATATATATATGTATATGTATATGTATATGTATATGTATATGTATATGTATATATGTATGTATATATATACACAGAATTATACATATATGTATGTATGTATGTATGTATGTATGTATGTATGTATGTATGTATGTATGTATGTATGTGTATTTCTATACGCATGATAATGTACAGGTGTGCGTACATACCTTCTGTACATGTATTCATAAGTAAATACATTAACAACAAGATATATGTATATGTATGTGTAAATGTATAATGTATATATTTATATTGACATTTATGCGGATACACACACGGCAGACATCTGGTTAATGTGCATATACATACACATGATCATGCATGTGCACATGTATCCATGTATGTATGTATGCGTTTTGTGCAGAGGTTGGGGCGAAGCCGTCGCAGAATCCAATGCTGTCGGAAATTTGAATTTCGAGTTTGGGTTCGAGGTGGGGATTGGCAGGGTTGAGAGCAGTCTGCAGGAGTAAGTTCGCTTCGATTGTAAAGCCTGGCAACTAACGGTGCCAACCATAGTTATAACTGCACATGGAACATACAGAGATGCTTGCAACCGTGACACATCTGCAGTTGTTCAAGAGTGCTGGCTACTGTTCCGCCGGTGTTGACATGCCTTTTGCGTCTCTCCGGTCTGACGGTGCAGCTTTCGAGCCATTGTACTGGATCTTCAAACCAGAGATGCCAAAGAGAACTGCCTTTAGTCGCACGGTTATGTGGCTTCTCCTTGCACATCTCCGTTGAATCTTTGGGTGACAGGGGGAGAGTTGGAGGACCGTCGTTGTTGACTTGCTGTTTGCGTCTCTCCGGTCTGACGGTGCAGCTTTCGAGCCATTGCACTGGATCTTCAAACCAGAGGTGCCAAAGAGAACTGCCTTTAGTCGCACGGTTATGTGGCTTTTCCTTGCACATCTCCGTTGAATCTTTGGGTGACAGGGGGAGAGTTGGAGGACCGTCGTTGTTGACTTGCTGTTTGCGTCTCTCCGGTCTGACGGTGCAGCTTTCGAGCCATTGCACTGGATCTTCAAACCAGAGGTGCCAAAGAGAACTGCCTTTAGTCGCACGGTTATGTGGCTTTTCCTTGCACATCTCCGTTGAATCTTTGGGTGACAGGGGGAGAGTTGGAGGACCGTCGTTGTTGACTTGCTGTTTGCGTCTCTCCGGTCTGACGGTGCAGCTTTCGAGCCATTGCACTGGATCTTCAAACCAGAGGTGCCAAAGAGAACTGCCTTTAGTCGCACGGTTATGTGGCTTTTCCTTGCACATCTCCGTTGAATCTTTGGGTGACAGGGGGAGAGTTGGAGGACCGTCGTTGTGGACTTGCTGTTTGCGTCTCTCCGGTCTGACGGTGCAGCTTTCGAGCCATTGCACTGGATCTTCAAACCAGAGATGCCAAAGAGAACTGCCTTTAGTCGCACGGTTATGTGGCTTTTCCTTGCACATCTCCGTTGAATCTTTGGGTGACAGGGGGAGAGTTGGAGGACCGTCGTTGTGGACTTGCTGTTTGCGTCTCTCCGGTCTGACGGTGCAGCTTTCGAGCCATTGCACTGGATCTTCAAACCAGAGATGCCAAAGAGAACTGCCTTTAGTCGCACGGTTATGTGGCTTTTCCTTGCACATCTCCGTTGAATCTTTGGGTGACAGGGGGATACAGTAGGAGCCCACTAGTTGGAAGCCTCATAGCCTCAATCCTTAAGAGTAATGTTTAGGGAAGTCCAGCGCTATTTGGCATTTATCCGGTTTCCTTTTGTGGGGTTGACTGTAGCTGGAGGTTTGTGAAACCTGGACTGAGCAAGTAGGTTGCAAGCGGAGTTGAAATTAGGATATCCGTGCCGGCAGCATAACTAAAGCCGTGTTTCTGAGCTAATTACACCCTTTCAATCCTCTGAACCTAAAGCTTGTTTTGGTCACCTACCCATTTCGGAAACTGGTCCTCCCTTTCTGCAGCCGAACGCGAGATACCGAGCTTCAGCTGGCCTTGGCTTCAACAACCGCCGCGGCCTCCTGGCTTTCCTTTGTGGCCGTTTGCTAGGGCTCTTTGAAGGGTTCCATGTCATTTCTAAGGGCTGTTAAGATAAGGATTCTAGAGTTTCGTACCCTTAGTTTAGTGTGCACTCTCGTGTCTAGAACTGAAAACTCTGAGAATGGTCTCTTGTCATCAAGTGGACGCTGGGAGGGGTAGCTCAATAGGAATCCAAACCCAGATCCTCTAGGATCCAGGAGTTTCTGGACAGAAGGCCCCTGCAAGGTGTCGTACCGATGCATGGATTAAGGTAGGTCCTTCTTCGATGCGAGCAAGTATCCGTCGTTTTGGGCCTAGAAACGGACAGGTAACGGGGGTTTAGCACATGGGGTTGTGGTAGGCAAGCTTCCAGTCAATTGGGGGTTTCCGAAAATATCGGACCCTGATATAGTATAGTATCCCAAATATTAGGATCCCTATTATAAAGACCCCTAAATAAGGTACCCTTATTTTCGGAAACTCCCAATTGTGAGGATGTGCAGTCTTTCGACCTTTCAGGATTGCTGGAGTTACGCACGTTCCGGCGGTTCTTGTACTCATCCTGCTAGCTGGGATCTCTCTTTGTGGTCCTGCACTTGGAAAGCGCAATGTTTTCATGAGCTGTGCTAGGAAAGATAGAATCTTTATGGGGGCTTCAGTGAGTGGCTGAGATCTTTCTGGAGTTTTGCAGTGCATGTGGGAGGCTTCTTGCTTTCATGGTTCCTTTCCGTGACGCCCTGTGTTCAATGGATGTCCCCCATTCCAGCCTTGTTATGTCGACAACTTCGGAGTTTCCGACTTCCTGTTGCAGCTCCGCCCCCCTGGCGCAAACTCCTAAACCTTCCCTATAGCCATGTGCACTCGCCGTGCTTCAAACCTTCTCGCTCTACATACATATATATATATATATGTATGTGACCTGACCGATATATATATATATATATGTTCACATATACATATCTCTATGTACATATATATATATATACACATACATGTGTGGATCTATATGGCTGGACAGTCTTTGCGAGGTACATGAACTGCGCCAGAGGCTTTCGAATGCAGAGGCAGGGGTCGTGCATGCAAATTGCGGAAGCAGCCAGCCCGATTCAGACACTCTCAACCCCAGTTGGAGAGTCAGGAGCTCATATTGTGACCCCCCAACTTGCCCTACCGTTGGGTATTAGGCGCTATACAAGGGCCCAACAGACATGTGGTCCTCGACTTAAGAGGCCCCTACACAGACACATTTAGCAAGAATCATAAACATACTCTCACTATGATTCTCTATGTCCCCGCAGGCATAGGCGGGATTCAGGAGCACGGCCAAAAGACTTTTTTCAAGTACTGGCAGGTTCAGGAGCACGGCCAACGTGCTTTCCCCTAAGGATTGGAGTCGCAGCCGACATGCCTTCCCGGTGTGGGCCTTGCGTTTTGTTTGTTCTTGGCTCTAGGCGGCTGCATCAAATTAATGTTCGTATAGAAAAGGCTGTTTGCTTATCCAGGGGTATGCGCTACTTGGAGTGCCAAAGCTCGCTCTCCTTGCTTTTTGCTGTCCTTTGAGGCCTTGTAGAGTGGGCCAGGGAAGATTCAATTGCAATCGCCATAGATGAGAAGTGGTTCTGACTATGAGTCCTCCGAGTCAGATGCCACATGACACTACAAACCCTAAGTTCCGGTTGGTTCTCCACTGCTGCAGGCCGCAAAGCGCCAGCTGCAACAGCGGCTTCTCGGCGTAAGGGTATTTTAGGTTTCAGGAGTTTGGGGTGTATTTGATTCCGCCAGGTTTGTTCTATCGTGTAGACACACCGAGAAGTTCATGCAACCATATAGAGACACTTCGAGGTTGTTTTCGCATGACCTAAATTCCAAGATCGAAGCTCTGACTGGCTTCAAGCAGTAAGCCCAAGCCCCAGACGAAACCCTCGAAACCCCCCCGGAAGCACTTGAAAGAGAGTTTCCGCCAACTCCCGAGCTCCCTTGTTGAAGGATCAGGAGAAGTGATGCCCAAGCTGCCCTTCGTTTAAGCCCATGTGGTGTAGATATTGGGTACTGCCCTACTCAGTAACAGTTGGATAATATTCATAATATAGATATATTAGGACTGTAATAGTAGCCCTATTATGGACTGTTACTGGTATGGGGGCAGTACCCAATGTAGATAGAACCTCAAAGTACCGAAGCCTGACAAAGCAGGTCTTGGGTGCTTTGAGCAGATAACTATAACTCCCCGTTACCGCCTCCCCCACTTCCTTTTCTTCCCGGCATTTGTTCTTGGGTTGAGTCGGTTTTCTAAACCCTAAAGCCCCCCTTTGAGGGTTCTAGGGTGTTGTGGTTGAGGGTTAGGGGTTTAATGTTTAGCCCAAGGGTTTGAGGCCGCAGGGATTTACGTGAAACATTGCTTCAAGTGAAGGGCACGAAATTCCGACAACAATGCAGAATTTGGGCCTGCCTTGTAAGCAATTCGCTGCTCAGGGGCTCGGCGCGGTATATAGGATATCTTTCGTCCAGACTATACCTCAACAAGGCTTAGAGTCTGAGAGCAGCAAACTTCTGGGCTCTGGCCTCATTATGAGTATGCTTGGCTTCAATGAGGGGACTCTGCACGAATGTGTATATATATATATATACATATACATATATATATATATATGTATATATATATATATACAGATAGATTTGTGTTTCGATTCAGCCAGCATCTGGGGCTTCTGGGGTCCCGGGATTTACGTACAGCAGCCTCCCATGCCACTATCCCTGAGCAACGAGTTTTTTTGCCGAGTCTCGCGCAAGGATCATCTTTGAAGAAACTCGACGACGCACTGTATGCGGGTTAGGGCTTACCTAGAGTCTCCATTGTAGTTCCTTTTTTTGGTTTAACCAATTATATATTAAGGATCCTATAAGGTAACCCCAAAAAGGAACTACAATGGAGACTATAGGTAGGATCTCTATTCACTAAACTCCAAACCCCCCGCAACCTCCCAAATGCCTCGAACTCCCAGCTTCCCGGTTCCAAACACTTCAGCGAAGGTGTGAGAAGCTGGAGGCTCGAGATCAGGTCAGCCGTTCAGCGTTTTTGGAGTTGAGGGTTTAGGGTTTAGGCTTTGAGGGTCGAGATCTATAGGGTTCAGATTGTTGTAAGGGTTCTTATGGTTTTCATGAGTTTACGGGTCCAGTGAGTCTAGTATATGCGTTTCGGCGTTTGGAGTAGGCCAGTCACTAGGTCGGACATGGGGATATTTGTGCGCGGTGGTGTTTTCCAATCTTGCGAGCTTTTGTTGTTTGTTTGGGTCCGCCCGACAGAGGGTGGCAAGTTTGACTAATATGTGCTTGCCAGACATGCAAATTAATTTTCAAGCGACTCACCAGGGCATGTGTGCAGCTTCCAACATGCAGAGAGCACCAATTGCTGAAGTCACCTTCTCTGCCGACAGCAGTATACGTTCTGAGAGCCACGTCGAAGCTTTTTCAAACCACATTGTTCTCATTTACTATAGTACTATAACAGTATAAAATACTACAGTCCGATACTCTAATACTCTAATACTCTATTACTATACTACTATAACGCCGGGCATTGCAGGCATTGTTCGTCATCGGGGTTTCAGCAGCTTCGCCTCCAAGCTTCCACGCGTAAATTTTATGCCCGGGCACAACCCAGCAAATGTCACTTAAAGGATCCTGGGACTCAGTAATTACGGATATTATTGAGGTAGCGATACATATAACCCCAACTAAGGTACTTATAACCATACTTACTAAGTCCCATGATCCTCCAAGCAGGTGTGGAGGATACTTGTAGAAGCCTTGGTTAACCACTGGAATATTTGCTCGCATCGTCATCCCGTTCCAGCGAAAAGTGAACAGGGCGAGGGCGATAGCCGAGGACAAGCTCAGAGATCATAGTATCCCTTAGCCCGACTGTTTGTCGAAGCCCAGCACTGTTCCATGTACCTTTTATCGCAAGTACTCATGGCTGTAGCTACCATGCTTCTCATAGCCCTTGTTACTCAGTCACATGGTCCTTAAGAACAAGATCCATAGAGCTCCCCACGCTCTCTGCTTACAGGAGATGCAACCCGAGCTGCAGAAGGCACAGCAGCTGCACTTGCTGCTCCAGGAGGCTCCTACCAGGGGTTTTAGCTACGTTCTTTAAAGGGTTCAAGAAGGTTTTGTGGGTGTGTGTGTGTGTGTGTGTGTGTGTTTAAAGGTTTTTGTGTTAAATAATTGTTCAGAATTTAGGGCTAGTGTAAAGTTACCGGGTTCCATCAGGTTTCTTGTCTTCAAATAAGGTGTCATTTAAGGTTGCCTTTTGGGGGTTCCTATCAGGGTGCCTGTATGCGTGACTACAAAAGTTATTGTAAGGATTCGTTTCAGGGTCCCTACGAGGGGGCTCTGAGGGCTTGGGATAGAGAGCTGGGGGCTTAGATGGATAGTTGTCAAAAATAGGGTCCCTTTTTTTGGGTCCCTACTAAATACGGCACCTAATCTTTAGGGTACCCAAAAAGGGACCCTAGTTTTTGACAACCAGCCATATGGAGGGTAGTATAGGCTCTTGTAAGGAGTTTAGTAGAGCGATTTACTCTTCCACTGTAGGGTTTGAAATTGGTCCATGTGCCACGTATATGCTTTGCCCCCCCCCCCCCCAGCTTAAACTTCCTTTCAGGAGCTGCCTTCTGGACGAAACCTGCACATGTATGGTGATCATGGCTAATCTTATGATGATGATGATGGTTCTAGTTTTGGTAAATGAGCCGGCAGGGCATGAGATGCCAGAGATTCCCAAATAGGGAAGTCTCGGAGAAGAAGTGCTAGGCCCGTGATGCGCTACAAGTGAAACCGTCGATGATGGTGATAGTAGACAACACCGATAGGCCCCACAGTCGTTCCGTTTTTGAGGTTCATATTTAGAATGCTGTAAGGTAATCCCAAAAAGCAGCTACTTTGGGGCCTAATTATGGGTAAGCCTAAATCCCAATCACGAACCTTTGAGCAGCTCCATGAATGACGGGGGTGCCTGAAAGGATGCCAAGGTACGGTTTTCCTGAGGCTCTGAGTGTCTTGGAAGAGCGACTTGGGAAGATTTTCGTCCGAAACACGGAAATCCATGAGGGTTGAAGAGTATCTAGAATCTACTTGGAGGTTCATGGGTAGATATAGGTCCCCTAATCTGGGTTATAAGTATAGTTACCCGACTTATAATCCCTCTTATAACTGGCCATGAACCTCCAAGTAGGCCCTAAACCCTATACACTTTTCCATCCCAAGTAAACGTACCCAATTCGCAACCTGGCAGGGTAGGACAGGACTAGGTCTGCGGTAGATCGAAGGATAGGGTCTGGTGATGTTTTCGGCGGTCAGGGATTGAGCGGTTCCAGGGATTAGGGTTTAGGATTTATAGGGTTTATAAGGTTTAGGGTTTAGGGTTTAGGGTGCAGGATTTACGGTTTAGGGTATAGGATTGTGCAGGGTGGACTGCTTCTCATTCTCAGGAGCAGCAGCTGCGGCAGAATCTTGAGGAGGACAGCCCTGTTGCTTCTGGACGGCTGTGCTGGTCAGGCATGGAAGCATTAGCAAACATGTAGGGTTCAGGGTTTAGGGCACGGTTTAGTCGCATCCGCGGTGCAAGTTGGAATCTAGCCCCCTGATATAGATGAAAGGGTACACCCCAAACTCTGAATCCTCGATTTTTTCAGCCGTGACCTCAAACTTGAATCTTTCGATTGTCAAAGCCCTATAAACCCTAAACCCCTAAACCCTATAAACCCTAAACCGTCAACCAAAGCCAAGCAACTTTGCACGACCCGTAACCGGAAGTCTCGAAAGAAAGCAGCCACTGCGGTCCTCGAGGCCCTGAAATCCTCAAGGAAGCTGCGCCCGAAGCGGGCCCTGGGGCCTACTTAGAGGATCATGGGACTTAGTAAGTAGGTTATAATTGGGGTTATAAGTCCCCTAAGTGGGGTTATCCTAATTATAACCTACGTATAACCTTACTTACTAAGTCCCATGAGCCTTCAAGTACATAAACCTCCAAAAGTACCCTATAGGGCTCCAGTTACCTAAATAGTAGGTTACTGGGATATATAATATATGGTTCGTAACTTCTTATTTAGGTAAGTGGAGCCCTCGGGGGTAGATAAAGTAGTCCTAGACCATCATCTAGGCAGGGCTTTGGGGCATTTTATATTTTCCCTTATTGGGAATAAGAGGATCCTATTTACTAATATTTTTCAAAGGCTTTAAAAGCCCCACCTAGTCATCTACGGTAAACCCCATAAAGTTGGAAACCTGATAAAGGTCAAACAGTCCTGGGATCCCCTTACACATTACTCTTAAGGATTGAGGCTATTGGGTTTCGAACTTTTGGGCTTCTACTGTACAACCGATTCAGAGAAAAAGTCTGGAACTCAACAAAACATGGATCTCAAACCTAAAGCACAGAACCCCACCACAAACCCACAGCAGTCAAGCCTAAGCCCAAAGCACAGGAGCTCATGGCTTTGCGGGCAGCCCGTGGCGGGGAGCTGCCTGAAGCTGCAGCTGCCCCGGACGGTTTAGGGTTTAGGCTTCAGGGTCAGGGTTTTAGGGTTTAGGCTTTAGGGTTTATGGGTGTGAAGCTTCGAAGGTCAAGGCTTAGTCACAATAATTTGGGTTGGGGGGCTTGTGGTTGTACGTTAGAGGTTTTTGGTTTTGGGGGGCTCTCGGTTCATAACGCCGAGACCTAGACCCTGAGCCCGAAATCCAAATACCTATTTAGAGGTTGTTGTTTCTATGAGCACTTTCGGAGGCCTTTTGGCTTGCACCATGTGGGAGTTTGCAAAAACAGGGGACCCTAATATAGTACCCTAAATGAGTTAGCAGAACCCTTGCCCATTTTGGGCAAAACAGTATCGCCTCTCACAGCATTTAAGTGCATGCCCTCCCTTTCTGTGTACACGTAACTTGCAATGTGGTTGCGGCTGGCATCTTCGGTGTGGGGCAGCACCTGCCTGGCGTGATGGTCGAAGGAGCGCTTTTCCTGTGCAGCAATGCAGCTGTTGTCCTGCTTTCAACTCGCTACGCAGCTGACCATGATTTGACCCTCTTTGTGCTTGACCAATCGTTGCTCAAAGTCAGTCCCTGTACATCTGCTAGGCAGCTGCTTTTGGGTTGAGGGGTTGAGTATGCACTGAAGCGAGCCTTCCCCTGAATTCATTTTATGGCTCGCCTGCTCTTGCGCACAGAAGTTTCGAATACCACGAAGCATGGGTCATCCTCAAGTCATCTTGTCCAGCGAGGTTTCACTCCATTTGCCAGATGGTGCCACAAGCAGATGGCCCTGGGCTGCCGAACCTGCTTCGTGCTTGCTGCAGGCAGGCGCCACTCGCCAAGAACCCCATCGTGAGCAAACCCCATGCCGCGATCCTCAAACTGCAGGCGGCCCCCGAGCAGCCCACTCGACCGGCGCGTCTATCGTCCGCGGACATTGTCATGACCAAGAAAGTGCTGGGCCATGGGGGTTTCGCCAAGGTCTTTTATGGCCGAACCAAAGGCATGGCTGCGGCGATGAAGGTCCCGCGGGAAGACAGTGAGGAAAACCGCAGTGCCCTGCACAAAGAAGCATCGTTGACCCATGTTTGCAATGTCAGAGGCACGAGCATCATCAGAGTATTGGGCTACATTGCAGAACCCTATCCTGTATTGGTTCTGGAGCTGTGCCAGGGCAGCTTGAATGACATCCGCAGCACAATGACGCCTTCGTTCTTCGTGAAAGCCTTTGACAGACACTGGCGAAACTTTGCATCGCGCATCGCGATGTTGCACCAGGGAATTTCTTCATCAAAGGCCAGCAGGTGCTGCTGGGGGATTTTGAATGTGCCACTTGCCTGACAGCGTGTAGTGCCACCACCTACGAGGTAGCTGGTACACCCGCCTATTGGTCTGCAGAATGTTGGGGCGCTTTGATGAAGCAAGCGCCTCACACACTGAGACTCTCTGATGTTTATGCCTTGGGACAGACCTTCACTGAGCTTTCTGAAACCAGCGGCGTAAGAAGATGGCGAAACTTTGATAAACTTCGAAAGGCCTTGCGGCCCTTAACATTGCCAGAGCCAGTGCGCGGCTCAGTTTGTGTTGCGCACCAAAGAGTCAAGAAACTTGCACCCTGGGTGCCCATCCGACCGTGGAGGTGACAAGGCCTTACAGAAAGGTGGAAGCATCGCAGCGTCGATTTCAACCTTTGTCATCATAGCACTGTCGCAACAGTGAGAAAGTCGTGTGCTGGTGCCGGAGCGCATGCTTTGGAAGCCTTTTCCCAGACCTTCTTTCCCCACCCAGTCCCTGCTGCCTCCTGGAGACCGCATTGCGCACTACTTCTACAAGCCTCTTTTGTGGGAATGTAGGCTTGTCCGGTGCTGTAGGAGGGCTTTCTAGGAGAAAGATGGTGGTGATTGATTGGGTGAGATACGGTTGACCGACCCCTAGACCAACCAGCGCCTTGGTGAATTTTATTTATGTTTTAATGTATAAAGCAATATGACAAAAAACAGAAAACTGTAAAACACAAGAACCCAACAAACAATAAACATCAGAATCAAGTTTCAGACTTATGGGGTAGGGATTTATTTTTGTGTTTCTATGCTTTTGACCAAAAATACATTTAAACACAATACGAAACACTGAGCAAAAACAAACAACAAGTGTATCAGAAAACACCAACACGCCCAAAAATCAAGTTTGACGACTCAGGCGTGGGGAATTTTGCCCTGCTCATAGTATCTAAGATTTGTGTTAAGAATATTTGCAGAAATCATTCATGAACATCTTTCAATCGAATATGTTACACCTTTAGCATTTTGCGACGTAAATATGGTCTTGATAGCCTTTCTACATAATAACTACTTTGATTTAGTTTCTTCTCAGCTCTCTCAACGGTATAAACATTCTCGCTCCAATTTCCAACCCTTTCTTTCTCACTCGGTTTTCGCTTCCTAAACATCTTAACTTCATCTCCATGATCTAACTCTGGATAGATCGTATTCCGCTTACGACTTCTGGCAATATTCGACCTGACGCTTAACTCGTTGCTTGGAATACGCGCCTCTTTCGGCGCAAATTTTGTAGCAGGATGTTTCATTTGACTGTTGTATGTCAGCAATATCTCGTGAATATAATCAGTTCATTGAACATTACTTTTCGTTTTTTCTGGTCAGCCTCAACTCTATTATACAACATGTCTTTAAAAACTTTGATCGCCCTCTCGCTGAAACTTTCGCGTGCCCCTCGATCTTGGACAACTCTTGAGTCCCGAAACCATAAACCCAATGTCCTAAACCCCAATTTCCAAATAAGACCCAGAGTTTTTACCTTCAGGTGCTTTCGGCAGCTGACCTGGCCCATCACATGAAGCAGCGCCCCGAAGGCGCAGCTGCTGACAAAAGTATTACAGGGGCCTCAGGGCTTCCCTATGGGTTCCTTCAGGGTCTTGTAAAGGTTCCGTAAGGTCTGTCAAAGGGATCTATGAGAATGTAGGAACCTGATTCAGCAACCCTGGGCCTCTAACACCAAAATAATTGGATTCAATAAGGAACCCTAATAAAGGCCCACGGTTTCCTAATCAGGTTCCTACATTATAGTACCCCTATAGATCCCTTACAGTAACCCTTATAGACCCCTTTAAAAGAACCCCAACAAGGGCCATGCAGGGGCCTCAAAGGGTTCCATGGGTCGCCACGCAAAGATGCGCGCGGCGATCAAGTTCCAAGCCCGAAGGCAAAGATCAAGACAGACCCTAAAGATATAAGCAGTGCCCTCGGGGTTGTGTGATGGGTTTCGAGGGTTTGGGAGTGTAGGCTTAGGGGTCTGGAGTTTAGGGCTGGTTTATGACACTTCAGGCTTCAGGAAGCAAGGACCTGGGCCCTAAACCCTCAACCCTAAACGGCTGTTTGGCTCTGCACCAAGACGAGCATGCCAGGGGCGGCTCGACCAGATGGAGGTCGAAGAGCTGGCGAGCTTGGGGGCTGTTGGGTTTAGGGTTTGAGGGGTTTCGGGGTTAGGGTTCAGGGTTTAGGGCTTTGTGTTTTAGGGTTTAGAAGCAGACCCGTAGTGAGTAGGGCTTTCGAAATTTTCAGGTTGATGCCATGTCACTAGAAGTAAACGGTAATCCTTTCTTGGACCAGAGCTCAATGCTAAGCGATTAACGATTGGTAGTGTAGACCCCGAGTTGTGCAATTTTTTTCATGCGTTTACATGTTTTTTTAGAGGAATTTATGGGGTTTACGCTCACCGTACACGGTTTAACAGAGCAATGCAGCCGCTTCTTCATTTGAAGGGCCTTCCCATGGTTAGCAATTGCGAAATTTCGTAGTGTTGCCGTTTACATCCATTATGTTGATCAGTATCGTTGCGTTATGGGCTATCATCCAAGCCTATATGGGCGCCAGAGTCGCGATCAAGCGCCACATGGAGAAGTATGTATACAGGGTCGGTGCACGGCAGGGCTTACCAAGAGCCCAAGTAGTCGTGCCTTAACGTCACTGTAGTGTCTTATTTCCTTACTTAATAACGGATCCTATAATTTCAACATGGCGTATCCAGCACAGGCGCTACATGACGGGCTCTATAGGTAGGGTTGATGTTCAGAATAACAGCTTCGGGGATCTGGATATGCAGCCGCGGAATGTTTTCTGCTTGTGGCACCGCCGAGTATTCTGCATCAGAATTGTCCCTGCCTGCCGTCGGCGTTTTTTGGTATGTGCCCAAGCACAGACAAATCTGTACCTTTGTGCGTAGATCTCTCTCTCTCTCTCTCTAACAAGAATCTTGGGCCCTTCACAAAGTCACAAAGGATCCCTAAATCAGATTTGTTTCTTGCTGGCGAATCTTCAGATGGACATCCCTGAAAGCCACTCCAGACCCCCCCCCCGTCCCCGACCTAGAACCTCAAGTCACTAGCCTACACTCCAAAAGGGGGATCCTTGCGCTCAAGGCATCTGGGGTCCCGAATGCAATGCAGATTCGTACATACACACCAACTGTAGACAAACACCTAAAAAATAAAGGATTCTAAATACAAGAGCCCCCCTTCCAAGAGACCGACTCAATTTTGTTTATAAGACCGCCTAAGTCCCTGAAAGCCTCTGCTGAACGATCGATGGCGACTGCAAGCGCCTCCATGGAAGAGGGTGGCGAGGAGAAGAGAGAACGCAAGAGCTCTCTTATGACTTGGGGTTTGGAGTTTCGTAAGGCAGACTTCAGTGTAGACCCTAAGCCGAACTTATCCGGAGCTTTTCTTCGTGTAATCCTTTTTGTTCGCGAAAAGGGTCTCAGAAGGGATCCGGGGTTTAGGGTCTGGCGCCTCCGGCATGGAAGGTTTTCAGCGATTGGGGTTTAGGGGGTTCAGGGGCATATGGTCGGGGGATGTCGGGGGTTAACGGCAGTAGAATAATTAAGCTTCGGGTATGGGTTTAAGAAGAGCTCTGTTCAATAAGACTGCTGATGACCGTATCGAATCTACGCTTTAGGTTGCTGCACTACAGCATCATAGTTTCGTAACCCATTACATTAGTAATTCGGTTTAGTTTTAGCAGGAGGCATGTGTACTTGGAGGTACACCCTTGGATTTAGATGGCCTTCTTGAGGTTCTCAAGGAACACCCATGTTGGACTTCGTAGAGCGAGCCGGTGTTTGGAAGGCAATCCGTACAAGTAGATCTAATTCTAAGCACACCCGTAGATCTAATTCCAACACAATTTGTGGAAGCTTTAAATATCCGAACCTAAAGTTAGTGGGTCATAACCTCCTTTCTGAGAGGAGCACATGTGCCTGTTCCTAAACCCTTGAAGAACTATAAATGCACGAAGATCACTGACTGCAAAGGTCACAAAACGAAGGACCACGACGAAAGCAACAGCAAGCAAGCGCGAGAGGAGCGTCAAGGTAGTATTATTAGGGGGACCCCTTAAAGAGTACCCCTTCATTCTGAACCCTACTTCTGGCTCTCTTAAAAGGGGCCTGGTCTATATCCCCAAAACTAGGATCCGAAAGCCTGCGACCGCGGAGGAAGAGAGCAGTGCAGACGATCCGTGCATTGAGGAGGGCGCCTGGGATCTCGAAGTAAGTATACTTAGAGGATCATGGGACTTAGGGTTCCTTAAAGGGCTACTTAAAGGGTTTAGGGTTTAGGGATCTATAATATAAGGGTTCCATAAGGGGTAGTTTAGGTTACTTAGAGGATCATGGGACTTAGGGTTCCTTAAACGGCTCCTTGGAGGGTTTAGGGTTTAAGGATCTCTAATATAAGGGTTCTATAAGGGGTAGTTTAGGTTACTTAGAGGATCATGGGACTTAGGGTTCCTTAAACGGCTCCTTGGAGGGTTTAGGGTTTAAGGATCTATAATATAAGGGTTCTATAAGGGGTAGTTTAGGTTACTTAGAGGATCATGGGACTTAGTAAGTAGGTTATAATTGGGGTTATAAGTCCCCCAAGTGGGGTTATCCTGATTATATCCTACTTATAACCTTACTTACTAAGTCCCATGAGCCTTCAAGTAAGGTTTACGGTGAGTTGATCAACTCTACGACTTCCCGCTTCGAACAGAGGGTGTAAGTCCGAGCATCTTGAGCCGCCCTGCAATAGGTTCATATCGCAGCAATGATATCATCAGTATCTTGTTACCGTTAACATTATGAACTCTTCATTCACACATCCTTTCGAGTTTGGAACTGACACGCAATGCAGCTGATGCGGTTGTTTTCTGAGGCTTAAGGGGTGCCCCGAAGCACGCAGCACAGGGTCTGAATACTAAGACAATGGTTTTCATGATGGTTCTCCCTGATTGTGTTCCGAAACACTTTTATAGGCACAGTATGAAGTCCACAAAGTCCTAGTCTACTTGGTTAGGCCTCTTGTGACCGCACGATAAAGTTTTAGAAAGAGTGTCCTTGCAGTGTCCTTAACGTTGCTGGCAGAGAAGGTGTTATGTTGGCTTGTTTGTGGGCTCAATGGCTCAGGGCTTGAGGAAACCATACATAAACTCTGAACGCCCAACACTACGCCCCTCTTATTCGAGAAGCCTTAGAGTATCCCTATAGTTACAGTGGAAATTAAGGTCTCAAGGTTTCAGGCTCCAGTTCTTCAGTCCGGTTTCACAGGGCCAAGACAGTTCAAGGCAGCGATGGCACCGGAGCCCATGAATGGCCCGCTGGTGAGGCGAGCGCCTCAGAGTACCTTAATCTATCCATCCATGCATCCATCCATCCATCCATCCATCCATGCGTGCATGCATGCATATTGTATACATACAGGCATGCAAATGCACATGCATGATCAGATTGTACATATGGGTACATGGACCTAAATTGAGATGGATACTGATACACCTGCAGATACACAGACACACACACACACACACACACACACACTCTCAAACTCACAGTCCACGTACATATACACAGACCCACCCGTACACAGACACATGCGCATTCACTTGCATTCCCATGAGCATGCACATGCATATGCAAGTGTACACTTGCATGCAAAAGCATGTGCGTGTATATATATATATATATATACACATACCTACAGGCCTGCATACATACATACACCTACGTACCTTCACTCTTACAAGGGTGCAGGATTTTGGGACGGGCTCCTCAGCCAAGGCACTGGCCCTAGCGCTGGGCTGTCCCGACATCGGATGCAGGCAGGGTTCAGGGATGAGGGCTTGGGGGCTTTTTCTTTAGGCTTGAGAAGCCTGAGGGTTTGGGCTGGGGAGCCACCACGGACTGTGCTACAACAGGTACAGAAGCTTGTTCATTGTTAGACTTTCTTGCTGAAAGCACTTATAAAGATTGAAGCGCCTAGTATCAATCGGAAGGCTTTTCAAGGGACTTTATGTGATCCTTCGGCATTTGAGGAGCTTTATGGGCTGTCTTCAGGGCTCTATACTACTTTAACCTGGGCTTCATTTTCGGCTCTACAGGGCTCTATAATATTAGATGGGTTTCATGAGAAGGAGAGGTTTGCAAGTTATTCGCCTTGCAGGGCGTTAGAAGGGCTTTGTGTAAATTTGGAGCCACAGCCCAGAGCCTTTGACTGGCTTTGGCCATAGCCACGGCGGCTGGACGGGAAGGGGCCAGTACCGAAACCCTAAACCCTAAACCCTAAACCCTGAACCCTAAACCCTAAACCCTAAACCTTCCTTTCAGGCACCATGAGTGCCGGATCGTGCTCTGTACGCAGTGGCTCCGCCGAACATCCTGCAGCAGGCTAGACTGGGCTTCACAGTGCGGAGGGCCTTGTATGGTATGAAAGAGAGCCCAGCCGATCACTCTCGGCCCAGTTCTGCAAAGAGAAGCTCATGGAGGTGAACCACGAGGAAGCTACGTTGATGGAGGTGTTAACCTCTTGATCGGCATTCCGGTGGCCTATGTTGATGACTTGGTTTAGGGGCCGTTGTAAAACCTCAGTGGCGTTTTATCAGGGATAGTATGTGGTTTTGTGAGGGCTTCCCAGTGTTCTCATAACAAAGAAGGGACCCTGAAACGCAGGAAACCGAATCCCTCCCCACCTCCAAACTTGAAAGCACCGGAAACAGCAGCAATACCACCGGCAATGTCCTTCAACCTTGCAGGGCTTCTCATGATGAGTTCGTCGAAGCTCCATCAAGATAGCCGTTAACGAGACGTGAAGAATGTTCCGTAAATTACGTAGTTCAGGCAGGCTGCACCAAGACGGTTCATACATGCTTCTATGTACAACAACCTTCAGTATTTTAGATCCATACGTACGGTGTTGGTTTCTGATTCATTTCATGTACAGATGGGTATATCCAAAACTAGTAGTTGCATACACACATACCTATGTACGTACATACATACACAAGGCAGAGAGGAGAGAGAGAGAGAGAGAGAGAGAGAGAAAAAAACATGAAGAGAGAGAACGAGGGCCAGTCATTCCTTTGTTCATGGGTATTGGGCTCTCTCGGCGATATACGGATAGATAGAGACGTTCCCTATCAGCCTATCCCCCAAACCGTCAACTTCGAAGAGTCATGCATTGTCCTTAACTTACGGATTTGGGGTTCTCTTTCTGGGGTTCACCATAGGTCGTTGGAGTTCAGTATGTCGGATTTAGGAGTTTTTGGGCCTTAGGGTCTGCCGTTCTCCGAGCATTTGGGGCTCTCTGTGAGGATCCAATCCCGATCTGTTCTCGAGCTGGGCGCCGGGAACGCCAGCGCCTTGGGCGAGTCGCGGAGCTTCTGAAGGATGAGGCTTGGAGGTTCATAGGTAGTAACTAAGGGGCTCCAAAATCAGTTCCTTTTTGGGATTACCTTATAGGATCCTATATGCGAACCCCCAAAAGGAACTACTTTGGGGCCTTTGGGTAGACTTATGAGGCTTGGAGGTTCATACTGCTGATGGACAAAATCCTGCATGACCCTAAGGACTCTAGACTATAGGAACTATGGTATATTCCTTGTAATGGGTAATGCAGGATTTTGTCCATCAACAGTAGGTACTTAGAGTTGGGGCTAGCAGTCCCACCATACGAGTGTTTGAGAGATGGCTATCCTACTGCGGGCAGTTGTCGGATCTTGAGAGTTTCCAGTCAGGATGTTGCGGATGGTTCATGAAGTGAGGCTTTGGTATGGGGTTTAGGGGTACGAAATTTTCGGACTTTGAAGGTGGCCTTCGGTGGGTCTGCGTTGAAGATTTCTGTGGTGGCCCCATAAGCGCCCAAAAGAGCAAAAGAACCATATACGCCCGAAGCATCCTCAAGCCCTCAGCTCTAAGCGGCTGCTTCAAAACTGGATTTAGCAATCCCGAGGAAAAATAGACAGGCTTGACCCCCCCACCCTCCCCCGCCACACGACAGATTCTGGTCGAATTGTTCAGGCTTCCCTGTTAGACCCAGGGCCCGGAGCCCCTGTCCCCCTTGCAATTGGAAAACCGATTTCGGGCTGATCAGTGCTTTAGAGCTTTAGGCATTAGGTTTTCATGTGGGCTTGTCAGAGAGCATTAGAGTTGAACTTATTCGAGGTACAGGTGTTTCAAGCATTTCAGTGCTTAGGGTCACGGTTGCGTTGTGAGGGTCTGGAGTTCTGGGTTTAGGCAGGGTTTTGGGAGTACTATGGGTCTCTAGACTTGCGGTTCAAAAGTTGTAGGGTTCCCAGCGCCTGTTAGCCAAGTGTCACCTGTTAAGTTAAGCCGTCGTTTCAATTGTTTCAATAAGCCCTGTGCAGTTCAAGGAAAATGTACATATATCATATATTATATAAACACACATATATATATATATATAGACATACAAACATATATATATATATATATATACATATATATATATATATATATATATATATATATATATATAATGCAGATTAAACATGTGTATATATATATATATATATATACAGACATCATGAGTTCATACATGTATGCACACACCTGCGTACAGTCGTACATACGCATAGACGCCAAAACAGCATCAACAAGTATAAGTGTTTCTTTAGATCACAAGTATAAGTGTTTCTTTAGATCACGAATGAGACACAGCCAGAGAGCTCAGGCGCGGGTGGGCCACGCGGCGAAAGAAGCGGGCGCCTCGCACGTGACGCTGACGGACGGGCTCGGCGATCTTTGGTTTCCCCTGAGGTTCCTCACGAGCGTACTACTATACGAGTGACTACAAAGGCTTAGGGCATGAATTTGCTTGAATCAACTCAACTGAGTGTTGTAGAGCTTAGGACATAGGGCTTTTGGGTTTGGAGGGTTTAGGGTTTAAGGCGTTTGGGTTTGGGAATTATCATCTGAGTTCCCGGTCTACGCTTAGTGCTTTGCAGCAGGTTTTCGCCTAAGGCACTTGTGTCAGAGTGTGGGGCTTGGAAAGGGTTCTCGTCTTTGCGCATGCCTTGTACACAGAGTCTTGCGATAGAGGTTATACCATTCCGTTTTTCCCGGAACCGCGTCTGCGCAGTATGATTTTAGGACGCGCCTGCAAACAATTGCAAAGCCTTATGCCGAGCCCTGAGAAGTCTGCTGCCCGCAGGACCGTGGTGCTGTGGTGTCGCAGCTCAGACGTGAGGTGGCTGATGACAGGCCAGGAGACCCTAACCCCAACACCGCCCTTGAAGCCCCCTTACTATGCTGTGTTTCGGTTTAGGGTTTAGGGTTTAGGGTTTAGGGTTTAGGGTTTAGGGGTTTCAATGGTAGGGGGCTGCGATTAATTAAGGGGTTCTATTATCTCGAATCCCCAAGCTCCCGAAGACGGCGTGGCCCCCGTCACTCGTCAGTCAAATGGTATACAGCCAAACCCTTGAACTTTATGGCAAACCCTATGCCCTACACACTTTCACCTCAAACCCTGAACCCGACATCCCGAACCCAAACCCTCAGCCGTAAACCCTAGCGTTTTGTCCCGACAGCCCCAAACCCCAAGCTTTTGAAGACTCCAAAAGCCGGGGCTTTGCAGGGTCTTATATTGCAGCGTACGATTATGATTCGTGAATGATCGTTCTGCGTAACTATATGTACGACGATATGCCGTTCCAGCCATTCAGGCTCCTATTTTCATATAGAACACCAAGGTAGACTTGATTGACGGTATCTTCTCTCGTAGTATTTTTTGGCCTTTAACTAGTTAACACCTAATTTTCCAAGTTTCCCATATCTGGGTTGTCCGTTGGATCTTTTTTAATTTCCCATACTATTTTGTAGAGAACCAGGACAGTAAATAATGTTCAAAGGGGCTTAAAGGACAACCCAGACTCTGAAGATTTTGAAGCCGTCGTTCGAACAGCCTGAACTCTGAAAGCCAAGGCAGGAAGTTGTGACCATAGGGTTCAGGGTTTAGGGTTCAGGGTCATAGAAACCCCTATCCTCTTCCCTCGTAGTTCTGGCCTGAGTCTTGTACGACTGTGAACAAGTGCCGGCATGATGACCGACCCTGTATATTCTGCGACTAGAGACTCCAAAGCCCACTTTCGGTTCCGCAGTCGTACCCTTTGGCCCTTTTCACGCGGGTTCCATTTTTAAAGCCAATTGTAGGAAGAAGGGTACCAATATTATCAAGGGGCTAGTGGTGAGCCTGGCACCGAAAGGTCCATGACTGTGGAAGAGCTCACTTGGGGTGCAGAGCTCGGCGGCACGTGGCTCGGCCAGGCTGCGTTTATTGAATTCCAGCTGTCTCGAAACCACTCGCGCGTTCTAGGTTTTTGCTGCTATGTTTATTCGTGTTTCTTTAGTGTGCCTAGGTTCTAGGGTCGTGCTGGTAGTTGAGCCTTTAGGGTTGTACGCTGTCTTCGTGTGTTTTTAAGATCTGCATGCACAGCTGGAGAGACTGGGTAAGTGGGGCACGGAGCCTTAACCCGGCCTCTGCAAAACGAGGTATGACGTGATTCTCGCCCCTGGTATGCAGATTGATCAGGATTTGAGAGGCTTGGGGTTACAGTATAGAGCCCGGCAGTGGATTTTGCAGTTGCTAGTTTCGCGGCCTGAAAGCGCTTATCCCCCCAATGCTCTAAACCTAACCGTAAACCCTGGTAAGGCCCTTTGACTCTCAACAATGGTTCCTGGCGTTCTCACGTTCGGTGCCTCCGGCAGCACCATTAGCCTTCAGTCAACGGTATGGGAAAATACAGCAACGTCCTTCCCAGCGGGTTCAAGAATACTGCCACTGGAATTATAAATATATACATCGTAGAGGGGATGGGCTTGGGCTGCATACTTCCATATCATATCGGAGTCTGGATTAATACTTCGTAGTACAAGTCATGAAGCTTCCCAAATGGAATTCAAGTATAATGGGCACCAAACTAGTTCTAGATTGTGAAGGTCCCCATGCTCCCATATTTCAGTGTACCATTATTTCCTGAGTTCAGCATCTTTAGGTAACGGCTGAAAGAGTCTGGATTGTGGAGGCAATCCGGTAACCTAGGCCCCCTGACGAATAACCTATCCCCTGATCAGGATTTCGACATGAATGTTATGACAGTCTCCTTAGGATTTGTTGTGTGTGATTTTTGTTCATATTATACTTATAAAGCCCAAGAGACTATTCTGTTTAGTTTTTGTTTTGGTTCTGAAAGGGCGATATAGGTTACGGCTCCTGAAATAAAGTGGACGTGCAAACCAAGAGCTGATGACCTGGTAGCGGTCTCGCGTGTCTCGCGATGTTGGGGTTTAATGTGCTCGGGTTTTGGATTTAGGGATCAGTGGACTTGGCTTCTACGGTTAGAAGTACACTATGTGGCTATATAGTTGTATATAAATAATATATATATATATATATTATCAAAACAGGATCTCTAGAATTTATCCCCGTGCAGGTATCGCAACGTTATAGCTACCAAGGAACATTGAAAGACTGCCGAAGTCCTGCGGTAACATCGGAGAAGCTTGAACCGCTGCTGCTTCAGAAGAAGACGAAGAACAGGGTTTAGAATTTAGAATTTATAGGGTTTAGGGTTTATAGGGTTTAGGGTAGAACAGCTCGCCTTACAACCGCCCATAGGCTTCACAACCCTGAGCCCTGAATCCCTAACCCTAAACTTGCCCTGGGTCTTCAGATAGACTAGCTAGCTCACCCTTTGCCTTAAAACAGGCCAGCGACGTCCTATACAACACCAAATCCGGCTATCGACCGCTTGTCCACACGATCTGCAGCCTCTCGTCTGTCCTCAAGCCCGACAGTGTTCAGGGCTTTGAGTTTCGTGGATCAGTGTATGAACAGTTCTCAGTCCTGACGGCCTGTAGGGTCAAGGGTTTGGGGAGCTTCGCTGTTTTTTGTGTAGTGGTTAGGATCCTCTTTGCGATCGTAATAATGCGGGACCCAGCAGGGACAGGAGCATGGCCTGTTTGATTGTTTCCGATGCGGTCCCAACCTTAGTGATTGTAATCCTGACACCTGTAGTGGGACACTTGCTTTGCAAGGAAGCTCCCTGCAGTTCTTACAATTGCTATTCCCGCATGTCCACACTTTTTGTTGGGCCAATGCTGCGAAGCCCCACAAAGCCAACTACAAAGGTACGTCCTGTCGATTCCAGATCAACCTTACATCCGAGCCGCACGTCTTTAAAGCCTGAAAGACCTTAAGCTAGGGGCCTTAATAATTAGAATAGGGTTTTGGTGTATATTATGCTCGAAGTATTAAAGGCCACTAGAATGAGATCCTAAGCTCAATGCCTTTCAGATGGAAGGTTCGCTGAAGCCGGATGGTATCCTCCTGATTTGCTGCCGGTGACAGCCTCAAAACATTGGGCATCGGGTGTCCGTGCTTGTTGAGCTTGCCTTTGGGGCTTGAGGCCTGTTGGTTCAAGTCTTAGGGTTTAGGGTTTAGGCTTTCCGGGCTTAGGGTTTTGGGGTTTAAGGGTTTAGGGGTTTAAGGGTTTAGGGTTTTTAGGTTCGGATGGAAGGTTTCCGTTTCTGACAGCTCAAGGCAGATACGCTGGCCAGCGAGGAGTGTCTGTTCCACGCTCCTCTACTATCCATCGAGCTTTTACATGTGGTTTAGATACAAGGCACAGAGGTAGTCGTTTCATATCTGGCTTTCCTTTGAGGGATCCCAACGAACAACTTCCAGTTACAGTACCCTAAGGCTTGAACCCTCAGCCCTTTGCACAGGATCTTTACTCCAGGGCTACAGAGTTCCACAGATGGGCCGAGCACGAAAACTGTGGGTTCCTTGCTGCTGAGGTATTCCACAATGGCAAAGGATTCCCTCATTCCGTGCACTCTTCCTGGGGGTTTCGGAAAATAGGGGACCCTGATGGAGTAATTACCCTAAACAATGGGTTCCTTATTATAAGGACCCCAAAATAAGGTACCCCTATTTTCGGAAACTCCCTCCTGGGTCTTAAACTAGGACCCGCGTATTCTGAATTATTGGACTCTAAGCCCGACGGGTAAATGCCCCTACAGCCATATCTTTCGAAAGTATTTCCCAGAAACTCATAGTATGCTTGAAGGCTCATGAGACTTAGTAAGTAAGGTTATAAGTAGGTTATAATTAGGATAACCCCAGTTAGGGGACTTATAACCCCAATTATAACCTACTTACTAAGTCCCCTGATCCTTTAAGTGGCAGTCTAACCAAAAAAAGCCAGCATCACGACTGAGATGGCGGAAGCCGATCGCCGAGCGGCGCTTCTTTCGTCTTATGGAAGCAACGGGCTTCGCCATTGCAGCTTGGTCGAAGCAGGGATCTATATATATATATATATATGTATACTGTACATACACGTGTATCTAAATATATGCACATGCGAGTATGTATTTATGTAAGTATGTATGTATCCATGCATGTATTTATGCTATGCATGGCGTGTATGACATGTATGATACGCATGCACACGTGCAGATATGTATGTCTCTGCGTTTGTTTGTTTGCCTGTTGTTTATGTATGTTATGTATGCAGTTATGTATGTTTTTATGTACGGCTGTCCGTCTGTCCGTCCGTCGGTCCGTCCCCGTCCGTCCCCGTACGTCCCCGTCCGCCCGTCTACCTGTATATGTATGCATGTATGTGTGTATGTACGGATGCATGGATGGACAGATGGACTTATGGATGTTTGTTTTGCATACACTCATTTGCTGTGTTGGTGCTTGGAGACTTTGGGATCGTGGGTGGCTTATCAAGCCCACACTAGGTTCCAACTCATGTCCCCAAACCTTAAAGCCCTGAACCCGAAGCCCGAAATCGTAAACCCTATACCCTATAAAAGGAGCTTCTGCAGCCGCGGAGCCTGGAGCATCGCTTTGCTGCGCCTCCTGGCCCCCTCTTGGGAGTTTGTTTTTAGGGCCTATCCAAGGTTTAGTGTTGATAGAGGGTTTTCCCGGATTGAAATAGGCCTAGAGTTTAGAGTTTACGGACTCCGATATCCAGAAAGTCCAGCTAGAAGGGGTCTAGCACCCAAATGCAGGCTTTTGGATCCCAAGTACTCTACCCTGAAATGATTCGTTTTGTACCTGAATCTTCCTAACATTCGGACACTGGGGATCGTTGCGGAAGGTTCGGCGTTCCATACGGGTGGAGTTGGGCGTGCGGCGGCCGTCCGTTGTAGCCACCAAACATGTGGGGAGCTTTCGTGCCTTCTGCTATACCCGGGGACCAGACCCAGTGAATTACACATAAGACTCCGTGCGGCAAAGGTCGGCATCCTTTCGAAACTCTTGGCACCGAAGACAGGTCCGAACCTTCAACCCCAGATTTTTAAACCAAAAGCGAAACATCGAAACTGAAAGTTTGAAGCCTACACATGGAGTCTCAGCACAACGAGGGGCCATTGAATTGGGGTTATAGGGGCTAGTTAAATCAGGTGCCTCTACTTAGAAGAAGATCCCAAATGAAAGACCCGGAACTTGATAAGCTTGGAAGCAGGGTCTTGCAATCAGAAAAGCTGGACACCCCAACAAGCCGTAACAAACCTGTCAACTCGAAATCCCGAACCCCCAGCAACCCTAAACCCCGAAGCCCAAACGTTGTTCCCATTCTGCCCCCTATATAATCGTACTGTCATATGGTTAGTTGTCAAAATTCTGGCCCCTTTCGGTTCCCCTAAATACTAGGTGCCGTATTACAACAAGGACCCAAACAGGGACCATAATTTGCACAACCACCCATTCATCACGCTGCCTGCCCCCTCCTACACCCGAAACGGTCAATCCTGCAATCTTAAGTCTGAAACCCTCGCAAACCCTAAACACTAAAGCTTTCTGAACCCGAAACCCTCAATCCTGCACCCTGCCCCACCCCCCAGGCCACTTTCTTGGAAGGACTTCGGCAATCCGAGGTCCCAGGCCTACGTAAGGGTTTACCCAAAAGGTTAAGATAGGGTTCCTTTGAACGGATCCTTAAAGGGGTCCAAAATTAAGGGATACTATAAGGGTACTATGATATAGGGGCTTAAAAAATTACCAATACTGGTTTTGGGGGTTCCTTGTTATAATAATTACAGTATAATGGGCCCCCAAGACCCTGCTCTAATTATTAAGGCCCCTATAGTACTTAGATTGTTTTCCTTGAAGGGTTCCCTTAAGGTTTTGTGGGTTGGATTCCCTTTACAGGAGGGCTAAAAGGTGTTCTTGACTTGATGACTCCGCAGAAGCGCATGCAACAGATTTGTGTTACTTCGTGACCAAACTTTACACCTCTTCCTTGCCATGACTGAATAGGAGGTTACCAGGTACCTGTGTTGAAATGTTTCGCGACCCTTGCCACACCCCACCCTTAAACGATATGCTCTACGCCCAAGACCCGGAATCCCCAACACCAGCAAAGAAGTCTTGAAACGTTCTAAACGCCCCAAACCCAGACCCCCTAAAGCCCAAAAGCCAGGCGAGTAACCGTTTCTTGACCGGTAAGATCCCAGTCGGTGGTGTTCTGACCAAGATCTCTGAGATCACGGAGGCGCTTCGGTTTTAGGCTTAGGGTTTAGACTTTGGGGTATCTGTGGCAATTGGCAGGGATTTGGGGTTGCTGAGTTGGGCCCTGAGTGATTGGTACTACTAGCCGAGCTAGTCCTGATGCTGCCCGCCGTGCAATCAGAACACAACATACCCCAAACTGAAAAAGTAGAAGTTAAATGCTTCCTCAGGTTCCCCAATGCAATACAGTATCATACTTACAGTATCGGCCCCAAGCCCCACTTTGGTCTCTGTGTTTTAGGGCTTCGCGGCTTCGAAGGCTTCCGACGTCAAAGCCTGAACCGTAAGCTTGTTTCGTGTTTGGAGGGGTTACGATCTTCCCAATTCCTCGAGCCAAGCAGACCTCGGCAAACACATTTCCAGAAGACGCAGATTTCGAAGCGGAGGCCGGAAAGTGGCGCGCAATGAAGCGCTAAACCTTAAGCAAAAAAAACCATTATAAGTCCAAAACCCAAACCCAAACTCCTAAGCCTTACTACCGCCGCCCCCTTGGAGTCGCGAGTCCGGCTCATCAGGCCAAGTGCCTTCAAAGGCTGTCTGTGGAAAATCCGCGCTCCTTCTGTCAAAGTGCGTAGGTATTATGGCCGCGCCACAGCGACCCTCGTATAGACCCTAATTGCAGCATCTTGACCCAAGTACAACAATCCCCATGAAGCCCATATGTTAAAGAGAACCCTAAAAGACGCCTTACGAAGCCCCACGACTATGTCATAAGTATATTAAGGGAGCCCCCAAAATAGTATTAGTAATTCTTTAGCCCCCAGGGGCCTCCTGCCGACTCGTTTCAAGCATCCCTCCGCCTTCGCATGGAAGGAGCTTCAAGAACGTCTCTCCGACGAGGAGCACGTGACCTTCGAAGGTAAGCAGCAAGTAGGAGAGTTCTATTGTGAGTGTAGGGCTTTGGGCTTCGCGCTTTAGGGTTGTAAGGATTAGTTGTTTTAGTTTGGTTTAGTTTAGGCGCTATGGCGTAGGGCATTGAGTTTAGGGCTCACGGGTTCGAGTGCTTTGTACGGCTTCATCAGGCTTGAATTCCATGTCAACCTTGTCTTGGTATCAAGGTAACGAATCTTAAAGGAATTCACATAAACGGGCTCTTCGGAACTTCGAGGAGTTTTGGCTTGAAGCAGTTTCTTTTTCATCTGGAGTTTCAGTGCAGTGCTGCGCATGCAGGCGAGTGGGTGTGTTTCTGATTTCTACCGCTTGAAGTGATTAAGGTTGGTTTGAAGATGTGTAGTACCTTTCCGTGATTTGCGCAAGCCCTCTAGGCCTTTTTCTAATCAGCATACCGCTTCCCATGTCGAATCTGATGTTGCGGTTTGGTGTTCTTTTTATGGGTCGGAAACATTAGTACCGCAAACTGTTTATAGTCCCGGCATATTTCCCGCATATTCGTGTTACATTATTCCTCTCTGCAGCCCCCATTCCAACCCATTCCAACTACTACGGACCATGAGCGCGCATGAAGGACCACATCCCCAGGGATCTGTGCGGCAAACAACATCGACAAGTTCAGGGTTTAGGGCTTAAAGGTTTAAGCGTTTGCTTAAAGAATCATAAGACTTAGTAAGTATACGGTTATTATCAAGGTAGCTATACTTGTAACCCCAATTGAGGTACTTATAACCATACATAACTAAGTCCCACTGCAGCTTGAGGCATCTTCACGCAGCTTTTCCTGCTGCAGCGCCGGAGAACTGGAAAAGCAGAGAAGCGCAAGCGACAGGATGAAGAGCTCCATCTCAGAGCGAAAACAGCGAAGGCTGTGAGGTTCACTTGGGAGTTTCAGGGAGTACAGAACATAAGGGTGCCGAATATGCTCGTTACAAATCCTTACGAATCATTGCAACCATAACATTTTTTCAACACAATTCATACTACCATTGTAGTCATTGCTGGCCCTAAACAAGCATTATAATGGCCCTGAAATCAGCGGCCCTCGGTTTGAGAGCCCTTTTAATTCAGGCATCATGCAGGTTTGGATGGCCGCGGCGGGCACGGACAGACAGACAGACAGACATAGCGAGGCAAACAGACGGAGAGAGAGAGAGAGAGAGAGAGAGAGAGAGAGAGAGAAAGCAAGACCTCCATCTATGCTCATCGAAATTATATCTTCAAACCATGAAAAGAAAGGCCCACAAATTACTTGCCCGTCGCCCTTGGCTCTGAGCCGCGCATCTTGCGCGACTTCCGCCGGCGCAAGCGGCGCGTCTGAGCCGCAAAAATCCAGTGGAAGCAGATCTGGTGGAGTCATCGATTTTAGGGTTTACCCAGAGGCCCCATAGTAGTTCCTTTTTGGGATTACCTTATAGGATTCTATATATATATGAACCCCCCAAAAGGAACTACTTTGGGGTAGGGTGTTGGATGTTTCGCGTTGAGGATTCAGGATTTAAGGTTATTTGGTGTTTGGGAGGATCACAGTGGTTGGGAGATTCGGGCTCCGGTAGGCCGGAAGATTCGCAGGGAAGGAGAGGTCTGAGCCTATCCCTTTTAACTATGTCCTACACAAAAACACTGAACTAGGATAATAGACCCCCAAACCCTGCTCTTTTCGTTCAAGTTTAGGAGTTTGTATGATGTATGAATTTTGGGGGTGTCAGAGGATGCGGGACCCCAGTATAGACCCCTCCCTACAAACTTTAGGGGTCTAAATGGGCCCCAAAACCCTAGTCTAATTGTTAAGGCCCATATTGGGTGGTTGTGGTCCGTTTTTGTGTCCCTAGTAGGGTACGGCGCCTAATCTTTAGGGTACCCCAAAAGGGTACCCTAATTTTGACAACTACCCATATATTAGGCCCCTGTATAAACCCTAAACCCCTAAACCCTAAACCCTATACCCCTAATCCCTAAACCCCTAAACCCTAAACCCCTAAACCCTAAACCCTATTAGATAAACCTCCTCACGCGGCTGAGGGCCATGAAGGCGGCAATACGAGCCGGCGACCGAGAGCGCAGCGGGGAAGTCTGGGGGAGTTGTTTACTCTAGGGGCCTTAATAATTACCTATACTCCTTATTAAAACTGTAGTATAATGTGCCGTATAGTATGCAGTTTTCATGGGGATTTGTCAGAAGGGTCGTAGGGAGCGTCAGGATGTAGGGCTCGGAAAAGGATCAAGGAGTAGGGGGCTTACAGGTTCTAGAGAATGTGTTTTCAAGGGTTTGCATACTGTTTCTGTGAAGAAGTTGTTTGCAAGGGTTTGCATAATTTGGACCTGTAGACAATTGAGGAGCAGACCCGTATCACTTCCCTTCAGGGCCTTGTTGTTGGGTAGAGCTGGGAATTAGGGATCAGGCTTGCCGGGTTATAGGAGTCGGTTGAGGGATGATTAGGGCTTGGAGGTCGGTTTAGGGTTTAGGGTTTAGGGGTTGAATTCGGGTTCTGCCAGGTCTTGTTGGCAGTTTCGAGCTTTGCGGTCGAGGGTCGGAGGTTCCTCCCCCGCTCAAACATTGCCCACGCAAATCATGGGGCAGCTGGCCAGCCTCCCCACAGTCGACAATGCAGATCTCCAACAACCGCTCCAGCAGCAAACAGAAACACCGCGCGGTCACAGCATCGGTGCCCAGGCAAGCTGCAAGCAAGAACAACGGTGACCCTAAAACTTGTCCCTAGGCACGTCATAGTCCCAAAAAGCCTGCAACCCTCTAACCCTAAACTCTAAACTCTAAACCAACCCGATCTGAACCTTGACCCCTCCGCAACAAAACTAAACCCAACTGCCTAGGCCTTCACTTGGCTGCTGCCACTCGCATGCAATGAACGGATGGAGACTTCGCCCCTCCTGACACTAAGCGGTTTCAGGGAAAAAGGTTTTTGGCTTTAGGGCTATTCAAGGGCCTTACACGAGGGTATTTGCAGGGTTAGTATGTCAATGTACTGTGTATGCTGTTTTTTTGTCTAAAGTTCTGGTGAGATTCGGACTGAGGTTACGTACATCCACCTTCGGGCCTTTCTGCTGATTGTAGCACGGTCGTCTGCAACCTAGAACAACCAGCATGTCGGGTCTGCGACGTCCGTCTGAAGAAAGGGAGCAACAGCATCTGAGTACAAAGGTAAAGCGACATGATATGAGCAAGACGAGGATAAGAGCAGTGGGCAGTTTTAACGAAAAGGATATCTAGACGGAAGGCGGGCCCGAGAGATAGCGGGAGAGAAAGCGAAACGAAGGCAGAGGAACACACATGGGCGGTTGTCAAAATTGGGGTCCCTTTTGGGTCCTGAATATAATACTGCACTTAATATTTAGGGTACCCAAAAAGGGACCCTAATTTTGACAACCACCCATAATTTTATTCAACATGAAGCAGAACTTGCAATAGTCCCTCTCCCAAAAAACTTGTTCTGACTCCTGGGCACCTATAAAGATTAGGAATGTCGCACTCTCACAACCGGTGCGAACCTTAAACCCCCAACTCTAAAACCCTAAACCCTAAACCCCCAAACTCTAAGCCCCTCTAAACCCGCAACGCGAGGCTGGCACACGATGTAGCTGCGGCGAAGCTCAAGGCTGCTGATCAGTGTTGGGTTACAGTAGAAGCCAGAAAGTTGAACATGGCTTTAGGAGGATTAGTTCTAGGATCCCTTATAAGGGCATGAGGAGTCTGATGTTCCAACTTTCTGGCTTCTACTATAGGGACCCTCAAAAAGACGCTAGCATAAGCATTTGTTCAGGGTTATTTTTACTGGTACCTTCTTGGGCTTCATAATGAGGGGGTTTATATGTTATATTCCAATCCTACTTTGTGGTCTTGTGCTTTTCTTCTGTATTGGGTTGGGATGCGGGGATTTACCAGGGGTCGGCGCAGTGAGAATGTTGTTTGTTGTGCAATCGAGTTTCATGGGGATGTGTATAGAGCTTTCATAGTTTGAACAGTTTTTTGGAGCAGTTTTTCCTTTTGTAGCGATTTCAAGGGGGTGATGATCTAGGCTTTCGTGCTCCGGACTCACTGTAGGGTGACAAACGTAACTGTAGGGTTTGGCACCCAGCCTCATGGCTGGCAGGATAAGGATGTTCGCCCGTTTACTTCGGGATTTCTCGGGTTCAGTCGAATCAGACGACAGGGCTGAAAGAATTATGAAGAAGCACAACGTTTCCAATCACTTCCGAAACGCTAAGCTCTGAACTAAGACCCAACCCGTTGTCAACCAACATGCTCTTAACCCAAATCCCTGGCCGGAAAACCCTAAACCTTTTCACTGGGTGGAGAGGGGAGAGGCGGGCCTGCTGAAGCGACTCCGCCCCTCGAATCCGCGGCAGGGCGATCCGTCAGCGCGTCTTGCGCAACGACTTTGCCAGGCGACCCCGTTCGGCCTGGGAGAAGCAGTGCCAGGTATTCTGGACATCAGCTGAAAAGAAAATGGGGCCGACATAAGACTGCACATACTGTTGTAGAGGACGTACACTGTGTGCCTTCAGCACTTGTGCCAACAATCCTGCAGTGACCTCCGCTTGTGGGAAGCACAAGTTCATACGAATACCATGGTTTGCACTCTGCTCGCCCAGGGCCCGCAGGCTGAAGCATTTCCTACGCATCGGAGGCCACAGATTCCGCCCACTCAGTCGCTCCAATTGGCGGATCGCGGCAACTAAGCATTGAGTCAACTGTCGCAAGTTCGCCGGAGTGAGGAAAGACCGAGGGCAGCTGTGATGTTGCACTGCATCTTCCAGTCCAGTTGGTGGGCAAACACCTGTACAGGTAGTAAAGCTCACAAGGAGCTCCAAGTAACTAGTACCAGTCTTGGCCCTGCCTGGAGTAGTATCCTCACACCAGCGGAGTCTGCGTGCCCAGTGCCAAAGTGGCATCGCGAACCATGGTGGCCATGAGCACGCAAGCAACACTTCTCGCTGTGGAATGGGAAGATTCCAGCTCGTCCCACCAGTGGCACACTGTTTCAACCACCTCGCAACCTTCTCATCTTGGTTCAAAGTCAGGCCCAGTGCGGGGGCCGCCTCCTGATCAGGTAGCGTCTCCTCGATGCCAGTCACGGTTCGCTGGAGCAGCAAATTTTCTTCTTGGGACAAGCGGCAAAGGTAACGCCAGAAAACGAGGAGTGCGTCCGCCTGGTCGCGCAG